TCTTACAAAATTAAGTTCTTTTCATGAACGTGTGCTTCATATCAAATGTAGACAAAAGTGATTCATTCCAATGAGAGAATGACTTAAATAAATTCTTCTATTTCCTCTATAAGGCCCCATCCCGGAGGGACCAAATTGAGGTGACATTAAGGATTTTTAAACCGTTTGCAATTACTTCCACCTATTGGGATCCGCTTCTCCCGCCCCCCTCGAGGAAGAGACCAATGCTTATACAAAATTGAGTTCACATTATCCAGGAATATTGCAGGTCAAATTTGGGTAAAATCTAAACATTCTTAATGGAGGAGTAGGATTTAAAATAATTCGTTGCATTTACCTTTTTGGGCCCAACCCCTCCCTCCCCAGGGTTCCGAGGTTCACTTTCTCCCTTACCCAAACATGCTCGAGCCGAAATTTGAGTAAAATCCAATCATTCCAATAGGAGTAGGATCTTGAATAATTTGGGCTATTTCCCATTTGGGCCCCCCGCCGTCCCGTCTCGGGAGGGGGTGGGGAGCGCGGGAGGGGGGAGGCACACCGTTAACTGGTATACAAAAACAAAAAGATTTCCAAAGAATGCTTTAGATCACTTTCACGCCAGTTGGGCTGAAAACCAGATATATTTTATGAGCAAAAGGATATGTTTTATCACTAGTGTTCATTGCTTGTGAAAAAATTATGCTGTGCTTTACAAGTGAACTGGTCAATAGAGAAGTAATATTGATTGATAGAGAGGTGCATATTTCGGTTGCTAGATATGCATGTTATGATAATACACTGAAGTACATTGAGACGCAATATTATTTACCAAACTTGAAATCTACAGATCTTGATCTCTAACACCAAATATTACCTGTCAGAGCGAAATGAATTAATACAAACTGCTGTTTTTTTTTCAGTCCTTATTTGAACTTTTTGGTGTAAATGTGTGAACACCGCAGTCGTCTGTATGGTATGCCTTAGGTTACACATAACAAATAACTATATATACAGAAGTAGTATCACAAGACACCTCTATTTCTCCATCGTCATTTAATTCAAATATAGAATTAAAAAGTGTATCATACAGCTGTTACATCTTTCTAGAACTCGTCACTTATTCTAAGAGCCAAACTTTTAAATCGTACGAGGCGTCTGAAGAAAATCAAGTGATCGGGAAAATTGTTAAAATCTAATAGATGGAGTTATCTCGTAGTTCAATACATTTTGAAATTTTCATACATCTGATAATTTCTTAAGAACGTCAGATAAATATGTATATTCCCACCTTTTCACAACAGGAGTTAAATCCGTTGAGTTTTTTTTTATGGGGGGGAGGGGGGTCCCATTTTTCAGTTTTCTGCATCTGTATTTTTCATATCTATATTTCAGAGATTTATCGATTCTACTTGCATTCTGTCGAAACTAACACCACACAAACTACACTCAGCTCAGGTAACAGATTCAGAACTCTCACTTTCCCGTTAGCCGCGATGGAAACGGATGCAACAAGTTATTTGACATGTCAGATTACATTCATCCCAAAAGAACCGAATGATGTATAAACACATTTAAATCCGAACTCGAATAAACAAGTAATGCAGCGATGACAGGTTGATTAATGCGAGTCCGAGTTTGTTGATCAACAAGGAAGAGACGACTTGATTTTGATATGATTAATATTGTAGTATGTTTTGGTTTTGTTCGTGCGAAAAAGGATGCCAATCTTTTATGTTTATGTATGTTGTCATTTACTGATATTTCTAATTGATTGTTATGTACATGTAGTCCGACATTATTTTGTTTCCATTTGTATCTTTTCTAACTTTGATTTATTTCAATACATTATATCGACTTTTAAAAGTATTATTGTGTCGTTATTTTCCTTCAAAATACGCTCAAAATGCAGGAAATGGAGCCCCCAGACCCCTCGCCAAAGCTTCGCGCCTTTGGCGCTCGCGACGCACGGCTTCTCCGGCGTTGCCAAATTTTTACCCCCCCCCCCCCCCCCAACTTTAGATCCTGGCTACGCCACTGCACTTGATCAACCAACCACTCGTCTCTTAATACCTTGTTAATGAGGGAAGATTGTCATAGCTATCCATTTTAGAAACTTCTACAACCAACAATATGAAGAATACGTAACAGCAATGATATTGTTGAACAAAAATAACCAGTAGTTTGGCAATTACCGTCCTCTCTGCATTTTGGATTTGTTATAAACATGACCGGAAAACCCTATGGTCGCAAGTTAGAATCTTTATTCAGCGTTGATCGGGCGCTTAATATCTCTGTACAATGCAAACGCTTTGATGAAGTTAGCTTGAATACTATTAGTCCGGTACTATTTACAGAGACTTGAAACGTAAAGCATTACATGTACAATACATGACATGAATTTCAACTTTGGAAAAGAATAAACTGTTCTTTAATTAATATGTAATCATTGTAAATATTTCAAATTTACTTTTATGGTGTAATTTCAATGGTTACTCATGTGTGGGACTGTCACTGGGAAGAGGGGAAAAAGCACTGTTTTTTTCAAGTAGTATTTTCTATATTTTCTTAAAACAAATCATGGTCACAATGTCCATGAAATAATAATACTCATAGGTGATATTCGGAAATCCATAACGCACTTGCACACACTCGTTAACTTCTTTCCGGTTAATTATCAAATTAACTTTAAACCAAGAGAAAACTGACATTAACAGAGTCTGTCGCGCACGATAAATTCGTTATTAATACCGAATTGACCGTCACATATGCCACTACGTCACCAGGCCCCACTTGTATAAAATATCTCAACTTGAGATTTCCTCAAGCCCAGATTTTCCTCAGCTAATATCTCCTTGAAAATATCTTGTATGAAAATTCCTCAAATAATTTCAGGACATCCTAGCCGATGACTTCCTCCTGTTCCTTGAGAAAATTTTAAACAAGCCGTTTTTGAGGAGATATCAGCAGAGGAAAATCTCGACTTGAGGAAATCTCAAGTTGAGATGTTTTATACAAGTGGGGCCTGAACCTTCTGGTAAGTACACTCTACTCAAGGTATCGACCAAGAAAAACTCCTTGCCGGGCTTGAACACGACGTTCAGGTCGTACCTTTGCTAAATCAGCATAATTGTCTGAAGTTTTGGCGGCGCTAACAGCAAAGGTTTACAGACTGTAGCGGTTTATGGTCTCTCTCTACCGTCACATGACGGTCATACTGGTGAAACTTTGAACAACCGAACCCGATCGCAAGTGTTTCTTCATCGATGTGAGCGTAATTGTGTTGGGTGGCGTTATCGCCTTTGAAGCATACGTGACTGGTTGTCCATCTTGAACAATGGCGACACTTTGCTCTTTCCAGCTAGTGTCGACTGTCAAGGTATGTTCTTTATCGGAGTCATAATAGCCCAACACGGATGCTTGGGTAACTAGCTGGTTAAGTTTATTGAAGCAGTTTTGGTGAGTGTTCTCCCAGCGTCATTCAGGTTTTTTTCTGCAACAACTAGCGCAGCGGAGCAGTAATCTCAAAGGTTTAATAAGATTTGCCTAAATACTGGACAAAACCGAGCAATGTCTGTAGTACTTCGGCGAATCCATATCGCGTACGGCGCGCACTTTTTCGTCGTCGGCCATAACGCCATTGTCAGACAGAATGTGACTTTCGTACGTAACCTGTCGCTGCTTAAACCTACATTTATCAGTACTTGATTTAAGGTTATTATCGCGCAATCTATCCAAGTCTTTACCGAGTCTATGGTTGTTCCATATTCTTCCCATAGATCAAAATTTCGTCGACATTGGCTTCACAGCCTTCTAGGCCTTATATAATTGTGTTTAATGGGTTGATACGCTCTGGGCCGGTTTAATGCCGAAGAGTAGTCTAGTGAAACACCCAAATAGCGTATTAAACGTACACTATTATACTGTCGCGATCGAGACGCAACTGCTAGAATCCTGATGTCGCGTCAAGTTTTTTGGTATTTCGCCAATGACGTCTATCGTTTTCGTCGGAAAATGCCTGTGTCGAAGGGCTACATTACGACGATACAAATCTCCTCCATTCGTTCCAACTCAGCCTTGACCTTTGGAGCGTGAACAACAGGTTTAACGCTTGATTCCACTTAAATTTTATGCACGCCAGGCATACACCTAATTCCTTTGAATAAAAGACCATAGTGATTCATGATGTCCTGTGGAATGTCTTCACGTTTCACGTGTTTAGTCCTTGAATATTCACAGACTGTGTCCTATCAGTCAAACAGTTGACTGCATTTCCGACATAACCGATACAAAGTTCATCATCACTGTCATCGGATTTGTTCAACATGTTTCCTTTATTCATTTCTGACCTACATGCGAAGTGGTCATTCATGTTAATTTTTTTACATGCTTGCGACATTGCTGAAAATTTCTTGTTTTTTGTCATACCTACATTCTTCATCATTTTGTCTACGTATACTGTCTTTGGTTTAAAAAGATTCCTTTCTCCTTTGAACCCTCACGTTTCACCATACTCACAGTTTATTTAGTTTTAGCGGTCATAACACGTGCTTGTGCATGACTAACTTCATAAGCGCGAGTTTCCTGTCCATGTGACTTTCCCCCAGGTAATCTGGTGTCCCACTACATTATAATCTCTCGCTCGTTTCCATCAGGGCCAACAAGAGTCTCCAAGAAAATACCAACATGACACATAATCATAATTCAAAAGCGTAATTAATCTAAACTGACACCTTGTTTCGCACTTATTGGATTATAAAAAAAATCCTTTTTTTTCGTCTAGAAAAGAAAATTTTGCTTCATAGATATTAAAAACTTTAAGTTCAAGGACATTTAATCTTTAACATTAGAGTCGATGAACTTTTTCACTGAACTGAATATTTTACATCTTCAATGTACATTACAATTATCTTTTTATTGGCAACACTTTCCCGTATCACACTATTAACGTCTGTATTACTTGTATTTCCAGGTTTGATGCTCTCAATATGAAGTACACATGGATAGTCCTCCTTTATTACATCATGGCGTCATCGGCACATGATTGCGTCCTGAAGAAACATTCTACATATGCATATTGTTCTGGTCTTGGCCTGACATCAATCCCTAAAGATCTTCCTCCTAGAGTGATTCACCTTGATGTCTCACACAACCCTATCGGAGTGTTACAGAATGCTTCCTTCAAACATCTCATCCACCTAGAGGTATTATTCCTGGAAGGCTGTTCATTGAGGAAACTAGAACAGCAAGCGTTTCAGGGACTTGTTAATCTTAGTGAATTAAGTCTGGATTCAAATAGATTTGTCCAAGACTCCTTTCCATTACGTGTATTTGAACCACTGCAGAACTTGGTATCAATCTCACTCAAAAGTTTCCCCTTTTCCTTCGTCACACATGAGATAAATCGATTAAGAAAATTACGAAGTTTAAAGGTCCAGTCACCGGATACGTTGACAACGGGATTGTGTACATTACGAAATCTAGACAACTTAGACGTGTACATACATGACACAGTACTGAACGATACATTTCAATGGTTTAGAAATACACCCATCAAAACGCTAGTTATTAGGTTCGTTGATGGAAAAGGTGTAAAGTTATTTCAAAACGGATTCTTATCAGCTTTTCACAATATTACATATTTGTCTTTTTCTGGGTATTATTTACAATCAATTACAGAAGTTTTGCACATATTGGAACCTCTGAAGAATAGAACATTGGATTTTATTGGATTAACACATATATTCCGTAACCTTGACCGTCCTGTTAGTCTAAATAATCTTGTAATCAAACCCATTGCCAATATCTGTGTGCGTCATTTAGATTTAAGTCATAACCAAATTGGTTTCATTCAAAAAGGCACGTTATCTAACTTGAAATATCCACAATGCCTCCAAAGTATAAATTTATCATTTAATCAAATTGCTGCTCAATCATTAGCTCTCAACGCTCTATATGGGCTACCTCTTCCTTCGATTAGATTACTAGACCTGTCATCACAAGTCATTCCACTACGGACATGTTCAATGAGTAAGGAAGTCAATGTAGATCGCACGTCTTCAGGACTTTCCAGCAAGCTCGGAAAAACACTTGGATTGTCGTCTCTAAATTCCCGACATGGTACGGCTGATATTTATGCACCACCATCTTTAAAAGTAGTGAATATATCCCATTTTACAGCTAAAAATATGGATTTATTTGACGTCATAGTGGTTCATAATAATACCTTGGAAGTTCTAGATTTGACAAGTACACAACTAGCAACAACATGTAAGCAAACTCTGGCAGGACTGTCCAAATTAAAACATCTTAATGTTTCTTGTTTAGACTGCTCTTCACTATCAGGGTCTATTTTCCATGGTTATTCCAGCCTAGAAGAACTGGTGTTTAGATATTCTAAGCTTGATGTCGGTCTCTCAGACGAAGTCTCTAAAGAATTACTTAGAGGTCTAACAGTGCTGAAAAATGTAGATTTCGCAGGTAACAAATTGGAAAAGTTGCAAGACAATCTATTTATATCTCAACGACGCACTCTCAATGGCCTGAACCTTGCCGAAAATTTATTCACTGGGATCCCGTACAACCTCTCCGATTTGACTCACTTGAAAACACTTGATCTAACATTGAATAGGATATCATCGTTAGATGAAAAGGATCGCTTGATGTTGGGGGTGCATTATGTAAAGGTTCCCGGGTTTCGTGTATTACTGGCGGGAAACCCCTTTGAGTGCAATTGTCGTACCGTCAGATTTATTGAGTGGGTATTCACAACTAAGATGGATCTGGACGACCCTATTAACTATGCATGTATCGACCGGACAGGTGTTAATGTAAAGATGACCGCATTCTATCAATCATTAGACACATTTAAGGAATCTTGCATTGACAGAACATGGCTTATTTTCTCAATATGCGCAACATTTATTTGTATTCTCGTAGTAGTAACCGTTGCAGTGGGATACAGGTACCGGGTTTCTATTAGATACTGTTGCCTGGTGATCCGGAGGCGATATCGAGGCTACCACAATATACAAGGCGATACAACCCAATACAAATACGATGCTTTTATAGCATACAACTACAAGGACTACAAATTTGTTCGTTACGAATTACTAGAACATCTAGAAAAAAGAGTAAATCTTAAACTGTGTTTACACCATAGGGACTTTCCACCGGGTGTCGATATTACCGATAACATAATGGACGCGATCGATGTTAGTAAATATATCATCATTGTCATAACTAAGAGTTATCTTTCGAGCTCGTGGGGAAAGTTCGAACTGGAAATGTCTAGGAGACATATCTTTCAAAGAAATAGTGACAACTTAATAGTGATTATGCTGGAGGAAATAGACAAGATCAACATGCCGAAAAAATTGTACAGAATTTATAATCAGATCACGTGTTTAGAACATCCTGGACGTAAGAATTACTCCGAATGGAAGGATAGCGGTTATGATGAGGATGATACACAGTTATTTTGGAAATATTTGCAAGACACTTTACAAACATAAAGGATGATTTACACCAGAACATAACTAATTGATAACAGATTCATTTGGCTATAATTAACAGAAAGTGAGTTGCCTATCCCCCTACCCGACCCCTTTTTCTGGTTACGTATGAAGCAACGGTTAATTGACATGTTTTTATAATAACCAAATTTATCAGTAACTTGATAATAGTTAGCCTTCTATCAATATCCGTAGAACATGTTTCCTGTTTCTTTTTGCTTCCAGATATAATCGTAAAAACGTATTATGTTGTAATGACGATTGGGATAAGGCTGATTTTCGATTATTTACCTTTTTTTCAGATCAAAATGACGTTAATGGTTTCTTATGATTGACCCATTTATTTTATTTTTTTTTAAATATGAAATGCGAATCAACATGTTATAAATGACAAGCTTGAACATTTTTCCTTGCAGTGAAAATAAATTCCATGTGAACGCGTCAGGATGAAGATTTTATTTCTTCCTGTTGAGTTTATAAGGTCAACAAAATTCGCATTTATTTACACCATCTCATTTTCGGATGATTATTTCTCAAAATGCATTTCGTCAAAAATTGAACGTTGAATCTGGATAACTATTATAATCACTTGTTTGTAAAACGTCATTCATTTCCAATATGGCGTCATAATATCCTTACACGGATTACTGAATATTTTTATATAAATAATTATAAATAAACAATTATATCAAATAAACCAAAACATTACTAAAAAAATCAACTTAGGGTATAGAAAACAGATAGCAATTGTAATATTGTGTGTATTTTACCGAAATTACAAAGTTATCTCCCCTTTTTGTTTTTAATATATAGGTATTGTATCGATAATTGCATGTGTTAAGTATGCTCATCCTATATTGTTTATCATGCATTTTATAGCACACTGCGATAAGTTTGTGGGTACATGTATATTAATCAAGATTCCTTCAACATAATATTCGAGATGGTTGAACCTGACATCGAGATATCTACGAATGATTGATTTGGGAATCTTGTTTTTTCACAAAATTCTAAAACTTTGGAAGAGTACTCTGATTTTCGTAGTTCAAATTGAGGTAATCTGAAATGACTTATATTTTTGTTAATTCAGTTTTATGCTGGTGTTGGTATCGGTGGTTATTTTTATCAGTAATGTTGTCCAGGTGCTAAAATTATCGCAATAAAATTTTAGAGCAGTATTTCTTTTTGAAAATTATCGCAATTAACAATATGCGTATTTATCATAACTGCTAAAGTTTAATATATATATATAATACAGAGACTTCGCCTAGCGCAGTCCTATTTCATTCCAATACTATTAAATAAACGCTTACAGTAGTAGTAAATTGTGTTTTGCGTTGTTTATAGTTGACAACTATTTGCATTATGCGTTCAGCTTGTATTCAAGGAATGGGTAACTAAGCATACATTTTCACTGATTGTTAAGGTCAGTTTTCCTTGTTATCATTTAAAATCAACATCATTCATATTGCTGTGGACAAAATTATTATGAAGTATAGTGGGTGATCTGTTTTATCTTTTTCATCTTTCATTTTTTATATCATGTATACAATATATATATATTGAATTTACGTTGTTAATACTTGAAATCAGACAGACAGACAGACAGACAGACAGAGATAATCATCATAATTTTAGATCAAATATAATTGGTCTGGTTTTACATTGTCAAACGTTCTATCAACATGTATGGGGGTGGGGCGATTGCATGTTTTGAGCACGTGTGTTTGTGTGAGACTGTCTTCTCTCGGTCACATTATACTGAAAAGGGACAATACAGTCGATACGCTACCCAATAGCTGAGTTTGAAGCAGACAGTATAAAATACATTTTTAAAGACTCTGGTATGCCCTGGATACAGACTCCAAAGTCTTCCTTACAGGGAGAAAACTCCACTAAAGGACCATATTGAGGAGGTGTTAACGGAGACATTAGGAAATAGGTCATTGTTCGGAAGGACGAGCACAGAGAAGATCACAAGTTTCAAAACTTCTTATGATCACCAACGGGAATAACATGAAAGTAAAATTCTTACACCCAACCTACAACGTAGATAGAGAAATGAATATTGATATCGGGGAAGTCAAATACGTTAGTTCCGGGATAAGATAGTCTGACGCGAGCCTTGCCGTTATCACATTTTATGATCAAAACCACATGCTTACATGCAAGTGTCTATCAGAATGGCGTAAATCCTTGCTACTGGAGAAGAAATCCTGAGAACATTGTTGAACGTGCATTGCCATATATATATGTTAGAGTTGCATGAGCACCTACTCGAACCCAAACTTCGTCTCCTTCAACCAGTTGTAACACCACGGAACTTCCTCCGTATCCGCTGTACTGCGAATCCCCAGAAAACGCCTTCCCAACCACTACAGCATTTTTTACCAGTTCTGTGTACGCGAAGCGTGGGTTAACGTGCACTGTCCATAAGAACACATATACACCCGCACGTGAACACGTGAAAGTACCAGTGTTTCCACTGTAAGACCCTCCAATATTAGTGACCACATTGTCAAAATGCATCTCCATATGATCTACAATTGGTTTGTAATCATGAGATAAAACGGCGGAAAATGCTACGGTGTTTCCATTGTCCGACACACGTTTTTCAATTTCTTGGTCGTTTTTAACAGATGTTGATTTTATTGTATCGTGTTTCGATTTCCTTCCTGAAGTCGGACGTTTTACATCAACGGTGCTTGTGACATTTAAGTCTTTTCTACATTCTTTAACAATGTCTTTTAAATGACCCAGATCTAGCCGGTTCTCAATGCCATAAAGGCGATTTTCATCAATTGATTTCTGCTTCTCAAGGTCATCTATTCGCTGTCGGTCAGTTCGACGCTGTTTCAGAAGACTGGCGATATTCCTCTTGTCAACAAATCTATTGTTTACAAAGTCAGAAATACGACTGTTATCCAATCGCTGTTGTTTCTCAAGGATGGCAATACGGCTTTGATCAGCATGTCGCTGTTTTTCGAGTTCGCCAATACGAATAGTGTCTTCTTTATGTAGATTTTCCAGAACAGTTAACCTGTGTTGAAAGTCCATTAGTATATTGCTATTCGTTTGTGGAATATCGTCATCTATGTCTACTTCCTGTCCTAGAGACATTGAGGCTAAGCAGACTGCCACCATTATTGTGCCACAAACCATGCTTCCTTTTGGGACAACACCGACAAAATTCAAGCAAATATTTGGCACCATAATTTTGTCCTGGCTTCCCGAGCAGCCACAGTATAGAACATAGGTATTAGTTTATTATGAGATCAGAACAGGTGCTCTCTAAACATCAGTTCACTTAATTGATAAGATATAAAGGATCCTGTCATTCCTATAATAAACTTTGACCTTAGTGCTCCGATTGTGCTGACTTTCACAAAGTGTGTCTGTGTCGGCGTTATATATTGCTACAAGCGGAACGCATGCATAATAGGGATTTACATGATACTCCAGTTTCCGGGTAATATATTGACAAAATACGATGAATACTGATTCCGTGGTTAAGGTTTTCTTCGGAAAATGTGCTCATCGTTACCATTTTGTAGATGTTAGTTAACATATAAGACCAAAGTATTTGGGCTAGATGACCTAAAAATGCTACACCTAAAAAAAGTAAAGGTTGATCTGATATTGCGTGTGTTATAACCAGGATGTAACCGATTTAGTGAAAATACCTCCCTCGTGAAGCTGTTACAGATTCTGTAATAAATTGGAGTTTTATTTCCACAATTTACCATAAATGATATAAAAGACGGATTTAATGAAGTAATAATTAATGATATTATAAAATTAATGAGGCTTTCTTCATTTTCTCCATTATCAAATGTTAGTTAAACAGGAAACAATAGAGAAGACCGGTAAGTGCCACTCTAACCATCAATGGCGACTTTGTCTGATAGGATGAACTTTGACCTCAAGATTGAAATCTTTTGATTCTGTAAAACTTTCTGGCAATAATTGAAAGCAATTTTATTTATCTGAAGAAATCGTATTTTGTGCAAATCCTTAACATACCTGAATCATACATATTCGGTAAAGGATGATGTTGTATATCAGCTTCTCTAAGTTCACAGCTGCATTGAATACAGAGACGTATATATCACACGAATAATACTACCATACAGCATATACATAGGATCTTACCTGGGTTTCCGCTTGACGTGTGAATTTACAAAGGAGTCTAAAAATGTCTCGCTAAAATGAGAAATTCGTGACATGTCCGTATTTATCACGGGCGGCGTGATTTGTAAACAAGGTTAAACGAAAACCAGAACAAAACATAAATTCACTGCACGGGATATGTTTAACATGTGTTATTAGATTAAAACCACAATACTACCTTGATGAAATATTTCATTTGACGATTTTTATTTTTGTTATACATGTAAATGGAGGCCTTTACTGGTAGCTAGGCTGTTTTAGCCCATGTAACAGTGTCGAGGCGTTATATAGTCGGTTTATGCTGCAGGATTAGTTGAAATCAAACTGTAAGAATCTAGTCGGTACAACAGGAGAGTTCGAAACACCCGAGGATATTAGTAACAAGGGGCTTGTGGCGCAATGGATAACGCGTCTGACTACGGATCAGAAGATTCCAGGTTCGAATCCTGGCAAGCTCGCTTTTTACATTAGCTTAAATACAAGTAGATTATCTTGTGTACATTGTAGCACAGCCTTAGGTTGCCATGTTTCGGTTCCTCGATGGAAATCGTTACGATACTGTAAAGCAAAGATGACTTGTTAAGCTTAGTAAAACCAATAATAGTATTTGTTATTTCGCACCGTGGGGCGACAAAGCAAAGATTAATGCTATTTCGAAGTGACAATTATTTCTCATTGCGATGGTATAGCTGGAAAATAACATTAATTTTCACTCAAAGATAAATATGTTCGTCATATCTCTCCGTGGGACGACAGAACGTAAAACGAAGATTGTCGTTTTTTCACACCACGGAGCGAAAGTAAAGTGCTAAACAATTATTTCGCTAAGAGCGAAATAGCAATATATCACGTGGCAAAAAACTACGGGTCGCTTATCATCGATTTCAAAATCGTTTAATTTCGGGTTGTCTTTTTTTTCTTTCGTCGTTTCATTCTGTCCATGCGCTCATGCACTCTTTAGCGGTAAGGGATAAGGACATGGTACATATCAGCCACCATATATTTCTGGTAAAAGCCTCTCGTTAATCATTCAAAGGAAACATTCCTGTAAATATTGTACATCCGGGAATCATATCCTGTTTCTGGTGAGTGCTGTTCTTTTATGACGAATCCTCATAGATTATGAGTCCTTGACAGATGGCGATATGATTTACATATTTACATATATAAATTAACTCGTTATTGTCAATCAAAACATTTACACATCTCTAGATTGACGGAGAAGTGCAGTATTCGCCGAAAGTAAGTGTCCATTTAATTAGAAATATATGAACAGAGATATCTATGAACTACTAATTTGAGATAAGTGAGCTGCTGTTTCAAATAACTAAGTGACAATTTTATGTATAGATAATGTTGAAATTGTTCTCACATGCTTTTTGGTGAGATTCATGATTTTGACAGAGAAAAATATATTTTGTAAACTATAGCTGTATTTTTATATATATCTACAATATCGGGCACATTTTAATTACCTCGTGTGTTTTTTGCATAATTACATTTAAATGTACGTTCATATTTATTAAAACAAAACGTAGGCTCCAGAGGGAGTCGAACTCTCGACCTCCAGTTTACTAGACTGGCGCTCTAACCAACTGAGCTATGGAGCCTCTACAAACACCGTTTGAAAAGGAAACAATTTTGTTTCAAAGACTACCAAAATTTATCAGCTATTGTTAAAAGTGTCCCTCGGCTCTTATAGGACAGGTAACACGACGTTCGACACCTCAAGTCACAGTTAATCGGGGGTTAAAATTGTGTTCCCAATTTCCGACCATCCCTATCTTTTTCTATCGACCTGATTTAGTTTTCTTTAACATTTTGCGATAGTATACTCCGAAATCTCCACGTTGATTATACAAGTATTTGTTCTGCGAGTCCCAGAATATACCTGAGGTGAATTTATAGACCGTTGTCAAACATAGTCTCGACTGGCTAGTATATTCAGAATCAGATATTTCGCTCAATCAAGCATATAGCGTTAAACAAGAGGTCATTTTACAAACAAAGAATTGAAACATGGCTGGCAAATTAAGTTTTGGATAATTAGATGTATGCTAAAATTACACAAAAAAATACCTTTTCTCTATAAATCTAATAAATGTCAGTTATACAGACAGTCAAAACCGGAAACAGTGTATGGAGTAATTTTTTTTCCTAGACAGAAACCGGAAAGAAATATTTTTCCTTGTCCAAAATAGTGACGCTAAGGTTTCTAGCGGAATTTGTAAAGGCTTGTGTGTATATATGTATAGACAGTGACAGCAAACCTCTTAAACTTTAGTCAATCGAAGAGGAGATTCCACGATATTCTAAATAAAGCAATATATACATATAGCATATCTTATGATATTACCTGGCAATTCAATTCAATAGATTATTTTTGCTGTTTATTGTTTTCTATTATCACCCGAGTTTCCTCTGTCTCCTACCACAGACGTTAGACACTTTGAGGGACAGATGTCTGATGAAGAACCCTGGTTCGGATTGTCAGTCTGCTTCCGTAGATTTAGATTGCAGTGTTTACTATCATGATTATTGCAGTCTTATGGCTGTACACTATGACAACATAAGATACCAGAAATAACGTGTCCTCTTAAGGACTTAAATCTAATATTACTGCTGCATTGTAAACAAATATAACCAAATTTCTAGGTCATTTATACACAGGAACCCTAGAGCTACAGATTTGTATTTTTTTAAATTTAGAATTCTTAACAGATAAGAAATCTATGTCAAACGTTTGTATATCTCGCTTTGGTATTAGAGAGGCACAAGACAAACTTCAAAGGAATCAAAACGTCACATGTTTGGTCACTTCTGTTTGTAAATACCAGGTAGGTGATCCATGATCATATAAGGAATGATTTTAACCAATTAAAAACTATTCAAATAAATGTCATTGATAGACCGAATTCATGGAGCGGTCTCATGCGAGGAATTTTGTGTACATTAATTCATATTATTTATGTCAGAATACGTTTGTTAATGAGTGGCTTATGACAGGCAACATAATACGTTTGTTTAGTGAGTGGCTTATGATACGCTACAGAATACGTTTGTTTAGTGAGTGGCCTACGATACGCAACAGAATATGTTTGTTTAGTGATTGGCCTACGATACACAACAGAATACGTTTGTTTAGTGAATGGCTTATGATACGCAACATAATACCGTCTTTGTTAGTCCACCATCATCAGATGGTGGGCTATTCAAATCGCCCTGCGTCCGTGGTCCGTCCGTCGTCTGTCCGTCCGTCCGTAAACAATTCTTGTTACCGCTATTTCAGGAAAAGTTCTGGATGGATCTTTCTCAAATTTCATATGCAGTTTCCCCTTGGTCCCCAGTTGTGCATTGTACCTTTTTTGGACTGATTCGAATTCAAGATGGCCGCTTGTCGGCCTTCTTTTATTTTAAAAAGAAAAAATTGGTACCACTATTTCTGAGAAAGTACTGAATGGATCATTGTCATATTTCTTAGGGAGCTTCCCCTTAGTCCCTAGTTGTGCAGTGTACCTTTTTTGGACTGATTCGAAATCAAAATGGCTGACAGACAGCCATCTTGGATTTTGAGAGTAAAATCTTGTTACCGCTATTTCTGAGGAAGTACTGGATGGATCCTTCTGATATTTCATAGGTATTGGTTTCCCTTGGTCCTTAGTTGTGCATTGTACCTTTTTTGGACTGATTTGAAATCAAGGTGGCCCACAGGCAGCCTTCTTGAATGTCGACAGTAATACAGCACAAGCATATTTTCTTCGATATTTTATCATATTGATTCAAGACCATGTCCATTATCCACCTGTAACTGACTGCTATCTAATAATACTTTGGGATCTTTTTCTAATGTTATTTGCTAATAGGTGCTTAATAAAAATTTCTTGTGCCATCATTGAGTACATTCAATGAAGACCAGTTCATTAACATTTACAACACCTGCAACAAACAAACAAAATAAACAAATATTCAAGAACTGAAAACAGATCCTCAAATGGTGGGCGCCAAGATCCCTCTGGGATCTCTTGTTTAGTGAGTGGCTTATGATACACAACAGAATATGTTTGTTTAGTGAGTGGCTTGATACGCTACAGAATACGTTTGTTTAGTGATAGGCCTATGATACGCAACATAATACGCTTGTTTAGTGATAGGCCTATGATACGCAACATAATACGTTTGTTTAGTGAGTGGCCTTTGATACGCAACATAATACGTTTGTTTAGTGATAGGCCTATGATACGCTACAGAATACGTTTGTTTAGTGAGTGGCATATGATACGCTACAGAATACGTTTGTTTAGTGAGTGGCCTTTGATACGCTACAGAATACGTTTGTTTAGTGAGTGGCATATGATACGCTACAGAATACGTTTGTTTAGTGAGTGGCCTTTGATACGCAACAGAATACGTTTGTTTAGTGAGTGGCATATGATACGCTACAGAATACGTTTGTTTAGTGAGTGGCCTTTGATACGCAACAGAATACGTTTGTTTAGTGAGTGGCCTTTGATACGCAACAACAGAATACGTTTGTTTAGTGAGTGGCCTTTGATACGCAACAGAATACGTTTGTTTAGTGAGTGGCATATGATACGCTACAGAATACGTTTGTTTAGTGAGTGGCATATGATACGCTACAGAATACGTTTGTTTAGTGAGTGGCATATGATACGCTACAGAATACGTTTGTTTAGTGAGTGGCATATGATACGCTACAGAATACGTTTGTTTAGTGATAGGCCTATGATACGCAACAGAATACGTTTGTTTAGTAGAGGCATACGATACGCACCTAATTATGATCATGGTATACTAGTACCTAGAACTGCCTACAGAATTAACCTGACATTGACATTTTAAGATTAATCAAATCATAATTGAAATATCTCGCTTGATATTTTCTAACCTGTTCCCTTTATATGTTGTATCAGGAAGAGATCGGGCCTAATGATATCCATGCTTACTCCAAAGTGTTTTCCACAGCGCATAGATGTTCAGATTACCTGGTATATCTGGGTAGTTAAGCATCGCGGAGACTGTTAAATAATATAGCTGGTTACAATACACTACTTAATGTCAATAGATTGTAAATTCAACTTTATTTCGTTTTGATACATACAGAATATGTTAAATATTGTCTTTTCCTTTCAGACCTTTACGGGATAAAGACCAAGGATACAGCTATGTTTGTTTTGTTGTTAGCTGTCGTCACGACGTTAGGTGTAAATGTTTCCGGTAAGGTGTAAACTATAAGCGGAAATCATTTCGTGACGAATATTTTCTCTTATTGCAAATCTCAAATAACGCAGATGATACATTTTGACCATTATCACAATAACTTATATAATAATATTATGGACTTTTGACAAGGTCAACATGTGGTTGCATTACCCTGTGTAATAAGACATTAACCGATAATAAAGTCGAGGGTATCGCTATTTTTCCTTGATAACATTACCAGACACTCACATAACTAACATCTTTTAATTATTAGATCAATTAGGAAATAAAAACAATTTGTACAAGCTAACAATGAATAACTAAATAAATAAATAAAGAACGGTATTCTTATTTAGACCGATGGTTTAAGATAAGACACGGAAGATTAATTACACAAAGCTTTCCGTCTTGTTCTCAGGCAAGTTGTACGTGTGTGGGACTGGATTTTGTTATGGTCACGGCACCAAAGTATTCCTGTCAGGTGTTAACATGGCGTGGGATCAGTACGGACATGACTTCGGCAAGCACCAGTATAACACCCATCACAAGTCCATGTATGAATCCATAGCCAGGAGAGTGGCGGCAGCTGGAGGAAACTCGATTCGTGAGTATGAAATATACCCTTAATTAGCTAGACTTTAAACTATACGTGGGTAAAAGCAAAAAAAGGTAACGACAAGTTTGTTGTGTATGAAATATGTCTATGCCATTACCAGAAATTACTGTAAACACTGCCATCTTTACATTCTAAGACGTATTGAAAGACCACAAAAATGATTCCATTTTAATTTTGATTGTTTTACTAGCTACGTCACGATGTTTAGAAGAATTTCGAGTGGAATTTGTTATTACTAGTTGTCAACCGGATATTTTTGTAACCATAATAACAAGAAGGTGTAAATATGTCTGTGCTTAGGACATACCAAATTCACATATATCACATCAAAGTAAATTTTGCTTAATATTTTAGATATCTTACGGGTTATAGAATATTTGCATGGTATAAATATGGACTAAGGGGGATAACTCTCACAGTATATCATTAGTTCTCCGACATTATGGTGACCCATGTTGGGATATACACTTTGAAAATTTCCTTTGGAAGCCAATGTGCAGAAAAATGCACATAATTTTTTTTTTGACATTTGCTCTGGACTTATGGAATCTATGTAACAATAATTATAAGCCATGTTTTACTTGACAACTCGTATCGTCCCGATAGCTTGTTTATAGTATCGGTAAGGAGGTTGATGAAATCTGCAACATCTCGGCGAAATGCTGTCAAAACTCCGGTAAAAAAAGGCACATAATATAATCACTTCGGAAATGTCCGATTGCTTTACGTCCTATCAATAGCTAAGGTCATTTAAGGACGGCCTCCCAATGTATGCGAGGTGAGTGTATATGTTGTGTGTTAATGGGAGGCTGTTTTATGTTCTTGTAAGCCTCTTTCCGGTAGTGAGGCACTGAATCAAAGTGATACCACACTTAATACTACAGAAAGAAACGAACAGACGTTCCGTCAAGTCACATTGTATTGAAACTGTTCAAAACCAGTCGTTACCCTACCGCATTGCCGGGAGTGATATCTCGGCTTGGGTACAAAACCCAACGCCTTCCATAAAGGAATGAACGCTCATCCACAAGGTCAAATCTGAGGCAGTGTCAAGGGAAACATGTCATTTGTGTCCTGAATATGTAATTGTAATATTCTTTTTTTAGACAATGGGTTGATCTTTTGGTAGTGATATTTGAATACTATTATTGATTTTTCATAATAAAAATCTATTTCAGTTTAACACAGTAATCAGTTTGCTATTATCTGACAGGGGTATGGGTCCACACAGAAGGACAAATTTCCCCGAAGTTCGATAGTCGGGGAATGGTGACGGATACAGACGACGGTCATTCTCTCATATCAGAGTTACAAAGCTACATCCGGTTTGCTCGCACGCAGAATTTGTTTGTCTTCTTGTGTCTTTGGAATGGTGCACTAAAGCAAGCCGGGAACGAGCGTCTGCAAGGCCTGATAACGAGTACCACCAAACTCCAGTCCTATATCGACCACGCCCTTGTCCCGATGGTCAATGGTAAGTTGAAGAAAGCATCGTCTAAAGGTAAGACAGAGACTAAAATGACAAGGCGGGGGTGACTGAGCCTTGTTCCCCAGGCGCCATGGTACAACATCGCAACCGACACGGAGAAGAGCGAGATACCGTACACCTTCTACGTCAATCTTTCTGAAATTGTCCACAATATTCATTTCTTTCTACACACTTAGCGTATATCATTGCAAATCAGAACCGAGGACTGCCATTTTCTTGGATCTAAGCATTAAAACCAGGTAAAACTATTCACTAATACTCTGACATAAATCATTTGAATGTCTCAAATGCGCTGTATCCAACTCAGAGCTAACCAGGATGCAGATAATATAGGCATAGGTGGGAAAAAAGGCGGGCAACATTGTATCACACCAGTTTCATCATTTTACAAACTCATTTCTCAACATCCTGGTTACTCCAGGGATTACGATCACTTTCGGCCCTTGCACATCTGGAACAATTCATTGCAAAATCGAAGATTCTGTGTGCGATACCTTTGGGGTAAGACGAGAAGACAAGTTTGATATTTGCATGTCGTATTGACTTTGAAGTTGAGTATCGCTCCTTTGTAATCATCAGTCTGTGATTGATCAATTTTTATTCTACAGAAACATGCATTAGACAAATTAAAATTACTTCGCTTTTGTCTTCAATTTCGCCAGGAAATGTTCGACGGGTGCAAAGAACGAAAGTAATCGTAACACTTGGAGTATCGAGGATAATTTCTAATTAATTTCACATTTTGTTATTCGCCCTTTTTCATTCGATCTACCAAAGAAGTTTTGACATTGACAATCGGTGAGAAAACAGACATTTGGCAACTTGTGGAGCAGGATGCAATATCGGACAGAAGGACAGACGGACGGTAAATTAAGAAAAAAAAAGTAACAGTAGACAAGTAGACAGCATATGATACCGTTCATATGAACTGTCACGTTCACGTTGTGGACTATTGACGTTTAAAGAAGGAATAGAGAGGCTATATTTACACACACACATAGCTCTGTCTGTCTGTCTGTCTCTCTGGCTGTCTGTCTGTCTGTCTCTCTGGCTGTCTGTCTCTCTCTCTCTCTCTCTCTCTCTCTCTCTCTCTCTCTCTCTCTCTCTCTCTCTCTCTCTCTCTCTCTCTCTCTCTCACACACACACACACACACACACACACACACACACACACACACACACACACACACACACACAAACACGACTTTACGCCTTTACTTCCCGCGTCATAGCACAGCATATGCATTCATTTTGGAATGTTAACACTACGCATTAAGCGTTATGAAATTGGCTACATCTACTAATTAAAACAAATATTTGTTATGTTAATTTGTTTTCTATGACTGATTGTAATTTGTGACTACTACTGTGGGATTGTTCATCACACTTGTCTTGTTGGTTTGGATAGAAGCGTTATTCGATCACTGTGACGATGACAATTAAAATGCTTGGAGGTTTGGTTGTTGAATTGTATAACTCGGAAGTTTCGCTCACAAGCTCTAATATCGTCAGATCCATACAATTTTTCTAGTATGATATATGGAAATGAATTGTGGAAGAGTTGGAGCATGTCGGCGTTGTAGTGACTGCTCACAACTTCTCTAACGGCAGTTACAACAGTGTTTGGTTATGTCCGATTTCGATATATGGAGCGAGGTAGAGATAACAAAACTATTATTCTGGAACAAATTGTGAAACGGAAGTTTTTAAGTTTATACGGAAAATGATATTTATTGTACGACTGTGTCAGTATATGTCTGGCGAATTCTCCAAAGTACAAACTGGTTTTACTTCAGATATTTTCTATATAACGAAAAGGTGTGATATAGTCTTGTTTGTAAAAAGATTTTATTAATAACTTTTCACTGTCTTAACTGTATTGAGAAAAAATCGTAAAACGACTTGTATACGATTTTTACGAAAAAAAGTGGCGAGAATAATAACAATCGAATCCAAAATTGGATATGCGTCTATTCATTGTAATACTAATCGCAATCCTAGAACTTATCATGATAAAAGTCATATAAATTTGTTTGGGGATTGATTGAGATGATGAAATGTTAATTTATATTTGAAAAAGGAAACGGTTGTTGTGGATTCTTTGCAAAACCCATCAAAGACATTGTTAAGCATTTTCTTATCCAGTGTCCCAAATTATTTCAAATCCGTGATGTTTTGTTGGACGGCGCTGTCAGTGTCGTCAAAGTAAACAAGTATGTCTCTTTCTCAAACCTGAGTGATCACGATCAGTGTGCCTTTCTCCTCGGAGACCGAACTAAAGTGCATATCTCTGATTATGAATGGGTAAATATGGCTGAAAATGTACCAGAAATGATCTGAGAAACGAATGCTGCAATGCAATGAGATTTACTATACATACAAACATACCTGCGGAGGTAACTGTCTTTGTGAGTTTATAATTTCATGTTAATGTATCTGTTGTAATATTTCAATATAAATTATGTAATGACAGTTGTGAAATCTCCCTCAGGAGGAAATATAGTCTGTCTGTCCATCCGTCCGTCCGTCTGTCTGTCTGTCTTATGGTCAGTTGCAAGTTATATCTATAACTGATGACCAAAACGTCAACTACAACTAATTTTGGCCACTACTGTTGGCACTGTTGCAGTTCTAAATAACCAACACAACCAAAACATCTGTACATTTCTTTATAAGACCCCACGAGGTCAAGATGCACTGACAAACATAATAAATAAGTAAACACTTTAAATACCAGTGGTCAAGATCATTTCTACCGGAAATGGTCAAGACACATAAAAGTTCGGTGAAAATCAGCGATGAACTCAATGTGCTCCGATCGCACATAATGAATGACGTCACTACCCTTCGATATCTTCTCCTTCATGGATAGTACATCGGATCTGTAATGAAAAAATATATATGTAAAAACGGTACATGTACCAATTTTGATGTATATTGCATCTCCTTCTATAGTTCAAAATGTAACAATTTTGCAACTACATGTATATTGCAATCAAACCCTTAAATACCTACCTAGCGAGGCACTGGGTACCAATAGTTGATTTGACGCTGGATACAAAGTGGAAACAGCACCATGTGTTTCTCTTCAAACTGGTGGCAGAATTTCCTTTCCCAGTAGAAGTCATCCCGGGGCAGCTCCTTGGTCAACACCACAGATAACTCGAGACCATAGTTGAACAATTCCATTGCTTTTGCTCGCTCAGCGAAATTGGCTTTGTCTCTCTTCCGAGATCCGGAAGGTTTCCACAAAGATCTCCGTTTTGCCTGGCACGGGGCAGTTCCGCAGTGAGGACAGCGTGAAGGACCTGAACGAACAATATATATTTCAATACATCTTCAAAATACAAGGGTTTCACTATTTATCTGATTAGTCATAGCTGTTTAATCGGAAAGAAACCGTTAGACATATCCGTATGGAGACATGAAATATATACAAGAGGCCAATCGTTCACTTGGACATTTCAGTTTTCACATAGAAAATATTTAAAACTATTCCGCTATTTCGCTATATTATTTAAGGTAAAATAGCTGAAAATTAAATTATCAATATCACTTACGAGTTCTCCATTCCTTGAACTTCGCAAATGTAGCCAACAAGGTCTGTTTGACTCCGTTTCCAAGCGACGGCGCATATCCCATAAATAGAGTCAGAAACACACACATAAAGGTATAAAACATCTCGTGTCCAATTCGCTGAAATAAATAAAATACACAAAAATAAACATGATCAATTTATGGAAATAGTTTTTCATAGAATGGTTCATATGCAAGAAGTTTGGATAGGAATAGATACGTTTTCTACCTACTTATAAATCAAATCAGGATTGATAAAATGGGGAATACTTGAAATAAAACGCATAGATCGTAACACAGGGATTTTACACAAATGTTTTTTTTTTTAATCTAAGTGTAAACGAACGGGTTTTTAAGTATTGTAGAGACATTGAAAACTAAATTAATTTCCCCCTCGAAAGTTTGGACCATCCAAAAACCAGTTGTTACAATCTAAAATAATGATCTTGATTACAATAATGCTGACATGTTCAGCAAATAATTATGGTGTGAAATTCTTACCAAGATCAAATCGGCTGGCGTTGGGCATACTTTCTTGATTTCAGTGGCAGTGACATAATGATAAAATCTGTTCATATACCCAGGCTCTGGCTCCACGCTACACAAATAAATTATGAAGTTTACACCAAGATTTCAGGGCAAAATATTGGCTTCTCCAAAGATATTTGATGTAAAAAGATATACTGTAAAATTTGTTAATTTCGAGGTATTTTATTTTTCGATTTTTTTTTCATGAGTGTGGAATGGAATCATGGAAAAGAAATATTGAAGAAGAAGAAGAAGAAGAAGAAGAAGAAGAAGAAGAAGAAGAAGAAGAAGAAGAAGAAGAAGAATGTAAATAGAGAAATTATGTATCTTGTTCCTGACTTCCGTAAAATCAATATTTCGGTGATACCGCAAAAATCAAACTTACCACATGAGGTCCCGATAAGCAGCAGGACCTTGGTGGATTGTGGTCAGCATTACCACAAACAGCAGTAACAGCTTGATATCCATTGTGGTACGCCAAAGATTAACATAAAATGTTTATATATGGGGAGAGACTCATCATCTCCGCCATTGTCGATTGCTAAGCAGCTTAGCAACTAAAATGTGACGTCACAAATGGACCGAGGTCTTGAGCCCATTATGACGTCATTCTTTTGTCTTTGTAACAAAATAGAAGCGATTGCAAGCTTAGTGTTAACCTGACTATTTTTTCCCATTCTTTTCCTTTTTCTTAGATAAAGATTGAGGTATATAAATGGAAATTTCCTACCCACGAACCCTACGAGACCTTGACCTGCAGTGTAACGGGTCTGTGGGAGAGCTTCCAATACAAGATGATACAGTTAGCAGAATTGTCGGTGACTCCTCGAAAAATCGGAATAGTTTCCTTTTTAATGTATTCACTTATTGATAATTAATTAAAATTTAAATGGTATTTAAAAGACAATATTAGGTGTAGTTGATTATATTTAATTGTAAACGGAGGTATTGTTCATTTGTATTTTACAATTTGAACAGGTATTATGGTGAATAATCGAACTTAAACTTGTGTTTATCATTACCTAACCTTACATACACCATGAAATATCTTAATTAATGTGATTACCCAAACATGTAAAAAATGTTCTGTATGCCCAACAAGAAAAGGTCCCATGTATTTTCCCCGAGTACTGTAATGTTCAGCAATTCAGTGGTTAAAAGGCTCGATTTTGAAATGTATACCAAACCTACACTTACAGCACTGAAAAACGAGCCTAACCTCGGAGGCTGGGATATTATGAACGAGCCAGAGGGTGAGATTATTGTGGGTCACCAGGACACGCACCAGCCCTGTTACGACACCAGATTCCTTCATAATTCAGGGGCGGGATGGGTTCAACAGATGTACACAGCAAAGCAGATTCAAAGGTATTTTCAGATATCGTCTTTTGATCGTTAAGTGTCAGGGTGGTGATGTTGTGATTGTGATATACGTTACGTGCATATCATATACGAATTTAGATTCTATCATGAGCTTAGCTCAAGTCTCGAGATATTTTATTGAAAAATCGAAAGCATTTGTGCTACATTTAAATTTTCGTAACAGGAATATGATGTGGAATGTATTTGTTATAGGTTTGTGAACTGGCAGGCTAATGCTATCCGACAACACGACCAGTACGCGCTCGTCACTGTCGGATCCTGGAATCCCAAGTCCAACACAGGAAGCTTCAACATGCGGAATCTTTACAGTGACCACTGTCTTGTTACAGCTGGCGGCAAGTCTAACGTAAGTCATCAGAGGTCATTGTCGGCCAAGAGTTGTCGCGGCAAGTCTAACGTAAGTCATCAGAGGTCATTGTCGGCCAAGAGTTGCCGCGGCAAGTCTCACTTTAGTCATCAGAGGTCATTTGTCGGCCAAGAGTTGTCGCGGCAAGTCTCACTTTAGTCATCAGAGGTCATTTGTCGGCGAAGATTTATCCCGGCAAGTGTAACGTAAGTCATCAGACGTCATTTGTCGGCCAAGACTTGTCGCGGCAAGTCTAACGTAAGTCATCAGAGGTCATTGTCGGCCAAGACTTGTCGCGGCAAGTCTAACGTAAGTCATCAGAGGTCATTGCCGGCCAAGACTTGTCGCGGCAAGTCTAACGTAAGTCATCAGAGGTCATTGCCGGCCAAGAGTTGTCGCGGCAAGTGTAACGTAAGTCATCAGAGGTCATTGTCGGCCAAGACTTGTCGCGGCAAGTGTAACGTAAGTCATCAGAGGTCATTTGTCGGCCAAGAGTTGTCGCGGCAAGTCTTACTTTAGTCATCAGAGGTCATTTGTCGGCCAAGATTTATCCCGACAAGTGTAACGTAAGTCATCAGACGTCATTTGTCGGCCAAGACTTGTCGCGGCAAGACTAACGTAAGTCATCAGAGGTCATTTGTCGGCCAAGATTTATCCCGGCAAGTCTTACTTTAGTCATCAGAGGTCATTTGTCGGCCAAGATTTATCCCGACAAGTGTAACGTAAGTCATCAGACGTCATTTGTCGGCCAAGACTTGTCGCGGCAAGACTAACGTAAGTCATCAGAGGTCATTTGTCGGCCAAGATTTATCCCGGCAAGTCTTACTTTAGTCATCAGAGGTCATTTGTCGGCCAAGATTTATCCCGACAAGTGTAACGTAAGTCATCAGACGTCATTTGCCGGCCAAGACTTGTCGCGGCAAGTCTCACGTAAATCATCAGAGGCCATTTGTCGGTCAAGACTTGTCGCGGAAAGCCTAACATAAGTCATCAGAGGTCATTTGTCGGCCAAGAGTTGTCGCGGCAAGTCTAACGTAAGTAATCAGACGTCATTTGTCGGCCAAGATTTATCCCGGCAAGTCTTACTTTAGTCATCAGAGGTCATTTGTCGGCCAAGATTTATCCCGGCAAGTCTTACTTTAGTCATCAGAGGTCATTTGTCGGCCAAGATTTATCCCGACAAGTGTAACGTAAGTCATCAGACGTCATTTGTCGGCCAAGACTTGTCGCGGCAAGTCTAACGTAAGTCATCAGACGTCATTTGTCGGCCAAGACTTGTCGCGGAAAGCCTAACATAAGTCATCAGAGGTCATTTGTCGGCCAAGAGTTGTCGCGGCAAGTCTAACGTAAGTAATCAGAGGTCATTTGTCGGCCAAGAGTTATCTTGGCAAGCCTAACGTAAGTCATCAGAGGTCATTGTCGGCCAAGACTTGTCAGTCGTTCATTGTGGGTATAAGGAGGGCGTCGTCTTTTGTACGTAGCTAATTGCATATATGCTAATTGAATATTATCGTTTTAAACAAACTACCCATCTTCATATTTTACGCGATCAACAACGCTTTGCTTACAATAGGGGAGGTAACTCTTCACGTTATATATATATATATATACCCAACAAAAGAAGAAATGTTAACATGTTTCCTTGGCGAATACCTGTAAATGAGTGAAAACAAAATGACGTTTGTGCAATATTAGAAAATGGTAATGTTTTACATTACGAAATCCAAGGGGGTTACCAAAATCATTCAAGCGTGAAAGTCTGTATTAGCGAAAGAGCTGCACGAGGTTTTCTGCGACTAACTTGTATCTTCGTTTGAATTTCATAAACATTCAAACTGACAACTGGTCCTTAGATCCTTAGGACTTAGAAATCACTGAATCTTGCTATCTATCAACTTTATCATTATGCCCCGGCTGTCACAAGTACAGAGAGAAAGGGCTGTAGGCATGATCCAGGCTGGGGAGTCTCGCCGTCGAGTTGCACGGCATTTTGGTTGCAGTGTTAAGACAATTTGCCAGTTGGTAAGTCGTTTAAACCAAACTGGGTTAACATCCGATCGTCCCCGAAGCGGCCGACCCCGTAAAACGACCGCCAGGAATGACCGTCGTATACGATTGATATACTTGCGCAATCGATTCGTAACCGCAGTAGAGACTACAAGGACATTGTTTGGGCGTCGTGTGTCTCCCCAAACAGTCCGCAACAGGTTGAGGGCCTACCCATTGAAAGCGCGGCGTCCCTACACTGGACTCAATTTGTTGCGACGTCACCGTAATAATCGGCGTAACTGGACCCGTGTTCACCGTCTTTGGGCCTTACGACAATGGAACAATGTTCTGTTTTCAGATGAGTCCAGGTTTTGTCTGCAACACGGTGACGGAGGGCGCAGAGTGGGAGGGGAGCGTTTTGCGAACTGCTGCGTCGCAGAACGGGACCGCTTTGGCGCCGGAAGTGTAATGGTTTGGGGTGGTATTTGTGGGGGGACTCGTACCAGGCTTGTTGTGTTAAAGGCAATTTAACCGGCATTCGATATCGGGACGAAATTTTAAGACCAGTGGTTCTGCCATTCTTAAGACGCCACGGCGTTGGCGCCATTTTGCAACAGGATAACGCAACAGCGCAAACCAGTCGCGTCAGCAGAACTTTCTTGCAGCAGAATAACGTACAGGTGTTAGATTGGCCATCTAAATCACCTGATTTGTCACCGATTGAGCATGTCTGAGACGTTCTTGGGCGACGCGTGAGAGAACGTCAAAATCAGCCGTCAAACTTGCAGGAGCTGGCACAAGCCTTGATCGCTGAATGGAACAACATCTCTACTCGAATTATCCGCCGGTTTACGAGTTCCATGCGACGACGCTTCAATGCTGTTTACTTCGCAAACGGTGGCCATACCCGTTACTAATTGTGTTACCTGTGAAATTGACCCCAACGTCCTTTACAGTCGAATAAAATCAACTGAACGCAAAATTTTATAACGAACCATGACTGCAGTTTTATCAGAATTTATCAATTACTTTATTCGTACATGATTGGTAAGGATTTATGAAGGGGTTAATTAATTAATCACAGAATAAAGTAGTGTTACCTTTCTTTTTTTGTTTAGTATATATATATATATATCTAAACATTTAAACACAAAATCACATCACACAGCCATGTATTTTATGATTATCCTTTTTACCAGGGAAAGCTGAATTTCTTCTCCACTCACACTTACAGCAGTAAAGGCTCCCACAAAACGTACGACTCGGTAGCACCGTTCCGGGTGAGTGTATCACGGAAACTGGGGATACTTGACAGAAACATTTCTGAATGTGTAACTTCAACAGTCTTACGTGTTAATCCTTCATCTGACGTCTTTTCAGTTTGGATAAATCAGTTTCCAGTTTTGCTTCTGATATTCAAAAATGGTGTTTATGATATCAACGTGTAATCTGACTCCTTGGATCTTTTTGAAGGGTGCACCAGAAAAAGCTAAATATACGTACGGAATAATTATATCACTTTAATGCAGAATATAAGTACCCTGAATAGATACAGGAAAACAATTTTTGTTTAGGATATTTTGACATTTTTGATATCATTGGTGGTTTGTTGATGGTAACTGTCCATAAAAGGTTTCGATTGTAAAAAAAAACATAGACAACTTTCATTTGTAGCACAACGCCAGTGTCTATGGTCTGAACCGTCCGTTGGTGGTGGCGGAGTTCAATCAGGTGCTGGGCGGAGGCTGGACTATCGACGGCCAATTTCCCTACCTATACACGCACGGGTACGCAGGGGCATGGAGCTGGCACGCACGCGCTAATGGCGAGTACACGGACACACTCGCTACTCAGGAGAAGGGTCTGCGGTCAATTTCTGGGCGAACAAGTCATGGCCACATCCGTATCCAAATATAATCCGCCTTTTGTGGAAAAATAAATAAAACAAACAATGAGTTTTAATATCTGAACCCAGCGGGCGATACGGAAGGATATTGTCACATTTTTGTTATTCATACATACATTTTTATAAGTACAAATACAGAAAGTCATATGATCAATTTTGTTTGCTGCCAGCTATTATATAGAGAATACATGGTCAGTGTCTTAAGATATAAGCTGTATTTGCCGAGAGTGAGGAAAGATAAAAGTGACCCGAGCCAAAATGCAGCTGATCTTTTAATACACTGACAATGTATTCTATTTATCCTGCAATATTGATTGAAAATCAGACCAAGAAAACTTCAACAGTTTTTTGTTCAATTTTTGTTTACCTGACGTTGACGTTACGCTGAATTTTGCCTTATGACGTACGCCAAATATCATGAGTTCCAAACTTCAACGGATATGACAGCGATTTTATAAACTTTCATAAATAAACTTGTTCATTTCAACATATAAAATCGCTTATTTCAACAGCTAATTTATATTGTTAAAAGTAATCTTTAAACAAATATAGATGGGAATTCTGTCGAATTAACGTACATGCTAAAATATAGCTGTTTTCTATCATTGCCGTATACAGCAAAATATATGTGTCATGCGTATTCCGGCAATGACACCATCAGTTGCAGGATATATAGAGAACATATGGTAAAAATATAAGCTGTATTTTGGCGAAGGTGAAGAAAGACAAAAGTGGCGAGCCCCTTGCGAGCTACTTTTATCTTTCTGTTCCGAGCCAAAATGCAGTTTATATTAGTGACCAATTTATTCTATTTACCCTGCGACAAACATTGAAAATCAGACCATTGTAACTTAAACAGATTTATTGTTCAGTCTGTGTTGACCTGACGTTGACGTAATGCTGAATTTTGCCTGATGACGGATGCCAAGGTAATTACTCCGCAAGGAAATATAGTTCCAAACTTCATCAGATATCAGCGATTTGATGTACTTTCATATATCAACATGTTCTTCACAACATGAAAAATTGATGTTTTTTTTAAACGTAATATATAAGTAAATTCAGAGAGTGATTTTGTCGAATTATTGCACGTGCTAAAATACAGCTGTTTTACAGCGAAAATATTATCACGTTATTGGGGTACTCCTAAACTCTATGCATTGGTAGTTCAAGACTGTAAATATAGTATCTATTGAGTGAGAACAAGAACAAGAAAGAAAATTACGTCATGTCAACAGGATCTTAACTAAAGCAAATTAGGAACGAGATTGACCTCATGTCCGGGTTCACGGAGAAGGTGTACCTGCTGAATCTCCTACTTCTTTATAATATACGCTGTGTATACATGTAGGCGAATCAGTGATATGGTGTACTTACGGGTCCGGGAGTTTTCTAAGAAAATTTTCCGCGTCCACTTCAGAAAATTGGGAAAACTGAAACTTGATAGCCCTGTCCATTCACACACACAACCCACTAAACCCCAACCTCGTGCCACATGGAACTAGCTATGGTCAATTGCTATGGTAAATAGCAGGTTTTAGGAGGAAAAAGCAGTGACTAATCATAGAGTTCAACTTGAGGAGACCAAACATGCCCCCCTCTACTCATTTTCCTATCTTTTCTCGTCCGCTGAAAGTCCGATAGGCCTTGAGGGTGAACGTAAAAGCCGTGAAATAAAAAAAAACATAGCCAGCCTACAAGCTCTTATTAACAGGGGTCCCAATGGCACAGGAACATAACCCATGGAGTATCGAGGATGGAATATCTCGTAACCAAATAAGCTAGATAGTTTACCTTTTTATCGGTATCATCGCCATGCTGGTAATTAAGTACCAGTATTAGTAAGCGATACATGTGTCTAGAACTCCACACGTGATAGCATAATCACAGGTATTCTACGATGCCGAAAAATTTCCGTCATCAATGAAAATACCCTTTTCTGTCGGTGGCAGATGTGTGAGCACGGACTTCAAAATATTTTACGTCCGTGTTATGAGCAATGCGGCCAATAAGAATTCAAATCGTGATTGAATCTTAACAGAAATAATGACACACCTTCTCCCGCGACCCGACTGAACTTCAACACAATACCTATGTCATTGTAACTGGGTAGCCTCAGGTCCTTTTATAGAGTGCCAAACGTGTATGTACATAGCGTATGTTATATTTGTGTCCCGGAATGTAGTCGAACAATATGTACTGCAATTTGTGACGGCGTGAATGTGTAAGTCTTTCGTGTGGAGTACAGTCATCCTATCCAGGAAGTGAAATTGTAAGTTGAGACACTTTTACAATATACCGACGCAGAATGTTGGATTGTTTTTCATCACTAAATTTCGCGGGTCATTGCACACGTATTTTTGAAACACCTCTAAGTTTTTCTTTCCAACTAATGTACAACCGTTCGCTTTAGCATTCCGAATAGTTTGTTTATATTTAGAAAATCCAGGTATCATTCGTATTTACAATCCAATCTGCGAAAATTGAACGTGCTCCACCGCGAAAGTTGGTACAGATGAATTTGGTAAGTTTTGAGTTAGTTTCCATATAGAAGAATACCATTTTAAAACGTTTCACGCGTGTGTTACTTTTGGATTTGTTGAAATATAGGGTAGATCCCGATGGCATGCTGACTACCGGGTACAGGTAATAGTAGCTATCCTTAATGGTTGTGGCAACTCCTGATACCAGAAATATTACCACGAAGTGTATAACTATATAAAATAAATTATTGTGACGACTGTATGTAGTGGATCTATGTTCAGTTGAGGGAGGGGGAAGGGGAGCAGGAAAAGATGAATTTTCAATAGACAGGGTGGGGAGGGGGAGCAGGAGAGGGACAACTATAGGTATAAGGGATCAATATTAAGTAGACGAGGGAGGGGAACAGGAGAGGTTGAATGGACATCTATATATAGGGGATCTTTATTCAGTAGACTAGGGAGGGGGAACAGCAGAGGTTGAATGGACATCTATATATAGGGGATATATATTCAGTAGACGAGGGAGGGGGAACATGAGAGGTTGAAAGGACATCTATATATAGGGGATCTATATTCAGTAGACGAGGGAGGGGAACAGGAGAGGTTGAATGGACATCTATATATAGGGGATCTATATTCAGTAGACGAGGGAGGGGAACAGGAGAGGTTGAATGGACATCTATATATAGGGGATCTATATTCAGTAGACTAGGGAGGGGGAACATGAGAGGTTGAAAGGACATCTATATATAGGGGATCTATATTCAGTAGATGAGGGAGGGGAACAGGAGAGGTTGAATGGACATCTATATCTAGGGGATCTATATTCAGTAGACTAGGGAGGGGGAACATGAGAGGTTGAAAGGACATCTATATATAGGGGATCTATATTCAGTAGATGAGGGAGGGGAACAGGAGAGGTTGAATGGACATCTATATCTAGGGGATCTATATTCAGTAGACTAGGGAGGGGGAACATGAGAGGTTGAAAGGACATCTATATATAGGGGATATAATATATTCAGTAGATGAGGGAGGGGAACAGGAGAGGTTGAATGGACATCTATATAAAGGGAATCTATTTTCAGTAGACTGGGATCAATATTCAGTAGACGAGGCGGTGGGGAGGGGGGGGAGGAGGAACAGGAGTGGTTGAATGGATATCTATGTCTAGGGGATTCAGTTTCAGTAGACTAGGGGAGGGAGAATAGGGAAAGTTATATAGTTATATATACATAAACAAATTATTATAACATATATATGACAAACTGATGAGCATCAAATCTGTCCAGCTTCATATTGCACAAAGAAATAGAACATTTCTCTTTGAAATCACTATGAGGACTAAAACTTTTCTATAATTAACATCAACCTGCATCTGTTACAAGTTTGTGGTACTTGACAACTTCTTGCAAGAAAATCATGATATTGGGAACAGGTCTTTGAATAATGAATTAACTGCGACTTGTAAACATCATAGGCAGGGAACATAGGTACGCTGCCACCCAGAAATGGAAAATTCACAATAGAGAAATTGAAATCACCATGCTCACCATGCAGCTTGGTGGAAATCTGTCCATGTTGGTTTCATTGTAGGAAAAGGTCAAGATAGGTGTCTAATATACACACTGCTCACCATGCAGCTTGGTGGAAATCTGTCCATGTTGGTCTCATTGTAGGAAAAGGTCAAGATAGGTGTCTAATATACACACTGGTTTTGTAGATTACATTTAGGTAAAAAAATTGAATGCCTTCAAAGTCACTGCTGAAAATCGAACTGGGATTATGCTGTCAAAAAATACAAACTTTACTGAAATCAAATGAGAAAATGCCCAACTACAGGAAAAGGTCACAAGGTCAAATTGTGAATTTTTAAAAAATATTTAACAGGTAACTATTTTGTTATGATGTTATGAAGTGAAGTTGACCAGAATCAAATGAGTCACTAGGTTAATCTCAGATTTTGAACATTTAATTGGTAAGTACTTTGTTATGACATTATGAAGCTAAATTGATGGAATCAAGGTCACCATCAGGTCAACTGTCAAGGTCAATTTTTAAAACATTTTACTGGTCAATATTTTTTACATCAATATGAGCAAATGCCTGATGAAAGGTTAAAATTCAAGGTCACATTTTGTATTTTTTTACGAGATAAATATTTATCATAACATTATGATACCAAGGATATAGACAAAGGAGACATCTGGATTCCATGATTTCATTATTGGTTGAAGTGTTTTGGCTAGGTTTTGATGACGACTAGCCTAGCTAGTCAAAATATGTAAACCAATAATAAACCCAGGTATCCAGAGGTTAAGCCTCCATTGTCTGTATCCTTTGTATTCAGTTTAACTATCGGAGCTTCAGTGAATACAGCTGGGCTTCCATCTGTTATTACTGCAACTACCGTTCTACGAACGTAAACGACCAGGACGTTGGTTCTCTTCCACTCTGTTAAAAGTCCCATCTTTTTTCATAAAGTAAAGTTGATTAGTGCAAAGTTCACCAAATGTCAAAGACACTGGGTTAAAGGTCAAAGTCAAATATAAGATATTTTTTTACTGAAAAAAAAACAACTTTGTTATATGTATTACATTATGAACCAGCAAGATCAAAATGTCATTGTAAACATACTATTTGGTAATTGATATATATTTAGGTCTAAATATAACAAATTTGATTTGAATTGAACGAAGAGTCATTACGATTCAGGAAAATATAACAATTTATAAGAATCACAAGGTCAAGGTCATCCCATCACACAACACATAGTTACTTACTACTCTATCTCCAATTTTAACCCCATTAAACATTTAAGCACTAATCAATCTTCATTGTAACTCCCTTCTTTGCAATTCCTTTCTGTTGTATTACTATATTTAGACTAGCAATTTTTGGATTGCTTTTCAAGTAAAAATATCATTTTATATCAAGGTTACATTTGCTATAACTAGAAAATTCATTTTGACAATATAACTTCAGTTAGTAACTGTTCCTGTCAATAAATCGTGTCCCCTTTGATCAATTTCAAGAATTACAAAATGGTCTCGTGACAATCAACATATCGGAGAGATTAGCATCGTTAGCTAATGTTGTTGAGATTTAAAAAGTACATGATGAAATAGTGTCTATTTGTTCTAAAAAAAGACAGTGCTGCGATTGTTAAATTGATGGTGACATGGTTTGCAAACTGGGTATATTGGATCTAAAAATAGCTTAGAATGAAAATTAGGATAAATTACCCCAGGTAAATGAAATTTATTTTTCAAACATTAAAGAGGTGAGAGCTTGTGATATTGATGCTGTAATGTTGCTAGATATCCTTTGTATCACAGGAATTCTGTCGATGAAATTTCAACAACCATGGCAGAGCTTAGCGAAGCCATGCTCAGCAAGCTGTCGACCCAGGAGCGACAGAAGCTGAACCATCAGTTACGACAGGCACAAGTCAAGAATTACCTCACCTTCATCAAAACAGAAAGAGAAAATAACAAAGGCAGTGTCAAACGACAGAGGAAACCAAACAAGAGAAACACTTGTGTCAAGTTTGGAGACAATCTTCTGCTGCAAGACGCAATTGAAAATTTTGATGACAGAGAAGGTAATGATGGATGAATGGTTAGATAATGCATTCAGTTGACCTTTGACATTTTAGAAATCAAATCCCCTGAAAGCCCTGATTGATAGGTTTCAGTATCTTGTTTACAACAGTCCTTTTTCTTTGTGTCAAAATCAGTGAAAATGGTTTTGAATCCAAACTGTATAACTCTATCATTTCCTTAACTTCTTATAAAAAAAACAGAAATGAAAGAAAACGGAATTAAATTTCATCATTAATAATGTAGAACAAATAAAGACAAAGAAAGAATTTGATGTTTGTGTGTTTGTTTTTAAATATATTAGCTTCGTATAGAATTTAACAGGTGAGGAATTCAAGAATTAAAGGATTTTAACTTTATCTATATCTTTTTTGAAAATTAAATATAAGTCTAGATAGAATGTTAAAAACCTAAGTTGGTAACATACTGGAATCATATGTTTATATCAAACGATTTTTCACATTATAACCATTGGAGAGATATCATCCTTCGTCCTATTTTATAGTTTTTGATTTTTTAGGTATGATTCAGATGAATATTTTTCACATAAATATATTGGGGAAAAAAAATCTACACTGATCAGAAATTGAATTACGATGCATCCATGTTTATTTTAAATAAGAGTCACTCCAGGCTGTTGCTATGTAATAGAACTACCAACAAATACTTGTTCATTGTGCTATAATAAGACCAGTACTGACTTTAGGTAAATTCTAAACCCTTAAAGCTTGAATCATTGCAGGTGAGATATCTGGGATAGGAATAAATTGGACTAAGTAATTTTTTTAACAGAATCTATGAAATCAGTTTTATAGGAAGAACGAAAAAACCTACACATCTGTCACACAACATAGTGATACAGATGAAATTTATATGTATAATATATATTGCTGTAATTAATTTCTTTTTTTCAGTTCAAAGACTTCTCAATAAAGGGAGTGATGTGAATTATGTAACTGGCAATAACACTTCACTACTGCACAAGGTAATGGTAAAATCATATAGGTATGGTTTTATGGTATTATCACTAACTAGAAATACAGGTAAATAAACATCTTTATACATTATTGTGTTGTCCAGTCTGCATGTAGAGGTCAGCTCTTACCTTGATATACCCAGTATACTGTATAATACTTACTTAGTCGTTACTGAACTTGTTACTTACTTAGTCATTACTAAACTCGTTACTTACTTAGTCTAACTTAGTCGTTACTTACTTAGTCTAACTTAGTCATTACTGAACTCGTTACTTACTTAGTCTTACTTAGTCGTTACTGAACTCATTACTTACTTAGTCTTACTTAGTCATTACTAAACTTGTTACTTACTTAGTCCTTACTGAACTTGTTACTTACTTAGTCTTACTTAGTCGTTACTGAACTTGTTACTTACTTAGTCTAACTAAGTTGTTACTGAACTCGTTACTTACTTAGTCGTTACTGAACTCATTACTTACTTAGTCTTACTGCGTCATTACTGAACTCGTTACTTACTTAGTCATAACTGAACTTGTTACTTACTTAGTCTTACTTAGTCGTTACTAAACTTGTTACTTACTTAGTCTTACTTAGTCATTACTAAACTGGTTACTTACTTAGTCTTACTTAGTCGTTACTGAACTTGTTACTTACTTAGTTGTCACTGAACTCGTTACTTACTTAGTCTAACTTAGTCATTACTGAACTTGTTACTTACTTAGTCATTATTGAACTCGTTACTTACTTAGTCTTACTTAGTCGTTACTGAACTTGTTACTTACTTAGTCGTTACTGAACTCGTTACTTACTTAGTTTTACTTAGTCATTACTAAACTAGTTTCTTACTTAGTCGTTACTTAACTCGTTACTTACTTAGTCGTTACTGAACTCGTTACTTACTTAGTTGTTACTGAACTTGTTACTTACTTAGTCTAACTTAGTCATTACTGAACTCGTTACTTACTTAGTCTTACTTAGTCGTTACTGAACTTGTTACTTACTTGGTCTTACTGAACTTGTTACTTACTTAGTCTAACTTAGTCGTTACTGAACTTGTTACTTACTTAGTCATTATTGAACTCGTTACTTACTTAGTCCTTACTTAGTCGTTACTGAACTTGTTACTTACTTAGTCATTATTGAACTCATTACTTACTTAGTCTTACTTAGTCCTTACTGAACTTGTTACTTACTTAGTCTTACTGAACTTGTTACTTACTTAGTCTAACTTAGTCGTTACTGAACTTGTTACTTACTTAGTTGTTACTGATCTCGTTACTTACTTAGTCTAACTTAGTCGTTACTGAACTTGTTACTTACTTTGTCATTATTGAACTCGTTACTTACTTAGTCTTACTTAGTCTTACTTAGTTGTTACTGAACTTGTTACTTACTTAGTCTTACTGAACATGTTTCTTAGTCTAACTTAGTCTTACTGAACTTGTTACTTACTTAGTCGTTACTGAACTCATTACTTACTTAGTCTTACTTAGTTGTTACTTACTTAGTCGTTACTGAACTCATTACTTACTTAATCTTACTGAATTAATTACTTGGATTATTATTCAACTTAGTGAATATGTTTGCAAACATCACTTTCAGGATTTTCAACCTTAATGTTTTGTCACCTGGGAGTGTTTATTAGTGTGAACCATTTCCTAAATTTTGATTTGAAGTAAGAAGCCAGGACATTGTGTTATTCAAATTATAGACTGATGCAATCATCAGTACACAGAATTATAATATTTTCCTTTCTGAATGTCTTGAATCTATACAAATCCTCTCCTTCAGTAAAGTACACTGTAACTCTTAGTGAGCAGATCTTTAACTTCTGTGGTCAAAAAAAAGGTAAGGTCAACTCAAAAGAACTGTAAATGGAGAACAATGATTACTTACTTAGACTTTGATGTCTTCAACGTCTGAAGATTAGAATGTCTTATATTTATAGATTTTTTAAACGTGGACTATTTCACAGTGTTTGCTATACAGAAAAAACTGATTTTGTCCATTGTTCATGCTTTTACAGTGTGTTAGTGAGGATAATCTGACTACAGCTCAGTTACTCTTGTCCCAAGGAGCAGATGCTAATGCCCTGGATGATGATGGATGGTCTCCCCTTCATCAGGCTTGTTCCTGTGAACTCCCAGAGATGGCACAGTTACTACTTAATGTTAGTTTGTAGTCTAAAACTAATTTTCATCTCAAATTAAATCTGAGGTAGCAATGGGATAGCATGCAGTGTGGTCAGATACATGCTATTTAATAAGTAAGTGGTTGGATGGCATAGTGATAATCCCTCTCCTTTCACCTAGCCTTCCAGTGTTTAATTTGGATGTGAAAATGTAAGGGGGTCACCTGCCCAACCACATTGGTTTCCCAGGGGTACTCAAGTTTCCTCCCACAATAAGACCCCTTGAACTTACATCCTGTCCAACAACAATGATTGATATATGTTGAAATAACTTGTTTCACAATACATGTAAAATTAATAAAGTTTATTGGAAAAAATAAAGTGTCAGTTTTGATAATGGGCTGCTTTCTTTGAAATTTTGCCTGGAATGTATATGGTTTACAATAATCAGTTTCCATAATATATAATGTTATTATTTTATCAGAACCATGCTGACCCAACAGCATTAGATGTAGATGGTTTTTTTCCATCAGACCTGGCCCCAGATGGCTCTGAGACACAGCAGCTTGTACTGAAACATATGGAGAAAATGGGTATAAGTTTGTTTTATTAATCTCTTTGTACTTTTGATTAAAAAGAAATTATTTGTACCTTGATCCATGCTAAGTTTCTGGAAGGTACATTGTCATGTTTATCTGAATCACATTTCCATTGTCGCTCAATGTTTCTTTCGTATGCCTGAGAAAACAATATACTGGAGAACATTCTTGGATTGCGGTGATGTTCCAAGAAGGATCTCACAGGGTATTCAATAGAGAGAGAAATAGAGAATTTGATAAAGAAAATAATACAATTACTGTTTATGTTTATTCTTGTGAACAAACTGTCGATATGTTTCGACATCAGGTGATAACATAAACACTAGCTCTTGAATGATGAGTCTCCTTTATTCTATTATTTAGTATGCCTGGTGATTTTGTTTATATAATCCTGTTCCTGGTTTTCATTGTATTTGTACAGAATTATCATGTTTGATTGGGATCTATGCTGATTGAAATGGTACAGAATTATCATGTTTGATCGAGGATCTCCGCTGATTGTGTTGGTACAGAATTATCATGTTTGATCGGGGATCTATGCTGATCAGATTTGTACAGAATTATCATGTTTGATCGGGGATCTATGCTGATCAGATTTGTACAGAATTATCATGTTTGATCGAGGATCTCCGCTGATTGTGTTGGTACAGAATTATCATGTTTGATCGGGGATCTATGCTGATCAGATTTGTACAGAATTATCATGTTTGATCGGTGATCTTCGCTGATGGTATTGTTACACATTGGTTGTGTTTAAACAGGGATCTCTACTGTTCAGAAGAAAGAACTCCAACTGAATTGTCCCCGACAGATGTTTTCTGATGTGCAGCTTCTTTTGACCACAGGCAGTGGTCTGAACAACCCGTCAGACCAAGGAATCACCCTGGTGAGTAAAACTTTTAGAAACATATCCAGATATCAACAAATGATATTGGTGTAACATCACCAGTTTAATGAGACAGGGACTGTAACTACAAGTTGTGTACAGTGTGTGTATGTACAGTTTGAAATGTTAAAGAAACAGCAGGATTTTCATGATCACCTAAATTAATTTTAAATTGTTTAATACATCTTTTGGGAAAAAAATGTTTAGTGTGGTATTCAATCCCTTTACAAAGGCCCCAATCCTATTAGGAGTCCTTGATTTTAACCTTAACCAAACTGTCTATCGTGACCTCCAATTTATAAAACTGTCTATTGTGACCTCCAATTTATAAAACTGTCTATTGCGACCTCCAATTTATTGGTTAATTTTCCAAACTGCTTGATACCTAAACTGAAGGACTCTCTTGAAGTAATGTGAAATCTAAATATTTATTTACAAATATTTTTTTCAGTTTCACGCCTGTAAAATATTTTATTGAGAAAAATGTTCACTTTTGGTCCTTTTGGACTTGACATAGTTTAAATTTAATGTTTTATTCTGTTATGATATTGGTATAACATGATTTACTATAACAATGAAAATATCTGTGCTATGAAATTTATGTGATGTAGTAAGTAGTTACCCGTGCTTAAACTTTCAGCTGCATATTGCATGTGCTAATGGATACAAGAAGGTTGTACGACTGTTATTGAAGAAGTTTGTCAGTGTGGACCTACAGGAAAATGTGGGCTGGACTTCCCTACATGTAGCTGCTCGGTACAACCAGGTGAAAGGAAATACCATTTTATTGACATGAGAAATTGATGATATAACTTTACCAAATAATATCTAACTTTTGTAGTTTTAACCAATCAGAATTCTTATTTCTATTCACTGCCTATAAATTACCTGATTTTCCTGTTTGGACATAGATAAAGCAAGGTTAGATAAATTGGATTTCCATCAAATCTTTTCCATATACATTTTGGGTTTTTTCTGGTTTGGTATCTAAAAACAGTTTTGTGGGCAGTTCTTACCAGATGATAGCTTAAAATGATAGACCATGTATAGCAGTGAATTGAAATTGGCATTGTCTTGTTGTCAAGCGTAGCATCATACTATCCAATATCAAAGAAAATACTAGTATTTTCAGAAGTGGACCAACTGTATTTGTCACTTGTACTATGCACTGGTTAAAAATATAAATTTTCTAGTTATAGTCAGGAAATATATTTGATATTACTGGGCAACTATTAAATATTCTCTGTTTGTTATCATCAAGTGTTTGGAGTCTGAAGCAATGCTGTGCATATTTTTGTTAAAATACAGATGGATATAGTAAAACTACTGTTGAAGGCTGGAGCCAATCCTAACTTGGTTGACATAGAAGGCAGCAAGGCTTCGGCTGTCACAAATTCAAATGAAATCAGAGCTCTCTTGATGAAAGCGGAGAGAAAGATGAAGTTACGAGAATCTGAGATTGGTCCATTAGATGACAACGCTGACATATATGATGAAATAGATGGAGAAGAGGAAATTGGTGTTGGAGGTCTCATCAGAATTAACAGTAAAACTGTGTATGTTATCTTACTCCAACATTCCTTATCAGTCTTGAAACCTACATTGTACTTGTCAGTCGTCCAGAACTAAAACGCTTGCTGTAGGGGACTCTCCACTTTGTCATATATTACCATGGAATACACACATACATCTATAAATAAGTCTTTAGAATGATGTAGGTGGAAGTTTAGGCCAGCAAGTGAAGGTGTTTTATGGATTAATGTTACTTGGATGCTCTGTAGGTCAATTTTTCCAAGGTCGATGTTACCTGGTCAATTCAAATAAAATACAGTTTTAAAACCATTTATACCATACTGATCCTACAATAAACCCCATAACTTACATCTGAATTCTGACTTCACGACAAAGGGATAGACATGTTAAATGAAACGGCATTTGTTGGTAATTCTACTGAACAGCAATAGTTATGGGTGGGCTTATTACCATACATGGGCATATTTTGGAGTAACTGTGCCGCAAACTCACCTGAATTCCTCAGGTCAATCTAAAATATGTCTTATCATTATTTGCTCAAATCATGGAAAATTATAGAATTATCTGATATTTTTTGTATTTTTATCACTGTTTGATATTTCAAATTTAATTTTTTTACCTGTATATGATATCGTTAATATAGTCAAAGTGTTATTCAGACATAACATAAATAATTTTCTTAATGTATACATATTTCCGCATAATCCGGATGAAATATCTGTATTCAGATGTACCAAAAAAATCAAACTGATCCTTACCAAAATGGGGGTAGTATAGTGAACCTTTGGCTGTCCCATCAAATCCTGAATCTTTGATCAAGGTCAAGGTCACAGTTATTGTTTAAAGAAATTAGTTAAATATTGACACTGATTTCTACGAATCTTTCCATGTCTTATTGCCAATTTCCAGTTTCTTATAATGAAGTTTACTGAGTGACTTGGATATATAATCTTACGTTTGAGTGATATGCTTAGAATATGAACTTTATCTAAGGTCATTGGGAAGATGTTTCACTCAAAAAATACACAAAGATTTATTTATTCTCACACCTTCAGCAAGTCGAAGCACTCCACCCTGGCAAGGGAAGATGGCTTGTCAGAGGCACGAACACGTTTAGAGTTCTTTGATGAGGGGAGAAAATCGGACCCTCGGACAAAGCAAGATGTCTCAGATAAAAAACCAGAGGCAAAACCATTTAGTAAGGAAGAGCCAGCCAATGAAGATGATGATGGTTATGAAGAAATCAACATCACCAAAATTTGGCGGGGTTCGGACAATAAATTGGTTTGTATGAGTTATGTAAGGAATAAAATTTGACAAGTTGAAAGAAAAAATATGTTTTTGACCTTGACTGTGATGAACCTATTAGCTTTTTAGGTTTAGATACCTTTGTATCAATCACACAGAGTTGGGTCATGTGGTTTTACATTACATAGCATTCTCATCAATCATGCTACATTCTTATTATTGCCTTCTGTTCTAAATGGCTGGTTTTTTGAGAGAAATTTACACCAATATTACATTTTAAACGTAATTTTGTTTTCACAGGGTATTCTACCAGAGGTAACTAGTACAGATAATTTAACAGATCTGGCGGACATTTCTGAGAGTACGATTTTGAAGGAAATCCAGCAGCGATTCTCCAACAGTCAGATCTATGTAAGTCTGTGTAAGGATAAATGTTTGACTGAATTTATTCATCATACATGTATGTTGTAGGGTCTCTTAAAGTAATCAAATGATTTGAGTAGTCACCACTTTGTAATATGTTGGGACTCTGATGATATTAATGCTAATCAAAATATTTGATCTTGCACACACAAATTTTGTGTAAAAAAAGAAATAATGTGCCAGCAGGATCAATACAAGACTTTTCACAGCAATCAAAGTAACATCCATGATACCAAGAAATATTCTCTCCTTTACATTGTTATTAGTAATGAAAATGATCTCTATTGTCATCCAGTTAAGAATTTGGCAGCCATTTTTGAGGAAACTATTTGAGTTACTGGGATGATACTTGGTACAGAATGATATACCGAGGAAGATTTGATAGAAAGCAGGTTGCAGATGATGAATTTTACCTTCATTTCATTTGTCAGTTTGTTTATTTAGAAATTTTCTAGTCTATTTCAGGGAAGATATAAGTAGTGCAGAGTTTCTAAGTAAACTTCAAGATTTTCCTCTCAAAATTCTTGTTATTTACATAAATACTCTCCTGTAAACTATTTCTTTGTCCCTGTAGTTTCCTTAGTTATGTGTGCAATTATTACTTGATTACTGTTTTTTTCAATCAATACAGCCAAGCCCCATTTTTGTGAATCTTCCTTAACTGAAAATCACTCATAAGAAAACATTACATAATTCAAGAAAATTTTTGGAGTTTTTCCTTAACTCATGTTCTGCTTTTCTACGATAGTAAAGATTTCCTTAGATAAGGAAGATTTCTAAACATGGGGTCAAGTCTTTATTTTGCAGCTGAACTATTATAGAGGATTTTTTGTAATATTTGTTGAACATTGTCTGAAGACCATCTCCTTTTGTCATGCCATTTAAATAAAGATTCAATCCTGAGATTTTATTTTCCATGTCGTGTAAGATCTTGGTTAGCTGTCATTCATTTTATTTATTTCAGACATTCATTGGTGATGTACTAATTGCTGTGAACCCGTTCAAGGAGATGTCTTGTTATTCCAAGTCTGTATGTATTACAGCTGTATTACAGTATTGTATTTATCATGTTATAAGTCAGGGAGCTGAGATATAACCTCTGATACAAGGTCAGGGGATGAATCTGGACAATAGAATAGCATTTGTTTGTAACTGTATTGAACAGCATTAGACCTGGATGGGCTTATTACCAGGCATGGGCTTATTGTTATGTAATGATATTTTTAATAATATTCAGGTGCTCATGATGAAAACCATTTCTGCTTACATACCTCAGTATTGTTTTAGATCTTTTTATCAGTTCACATAATCTTTCTATTGTTTTGTGATAGAGAAATAAGTTAAAATGAATTGTACTCCGTAAGTAGTATAAAATATGTTTGCTTGTAAAATTTAAGTATTTGAGAAATATTCTAATTCGCTGAACTTTTCAAGATCTGAATCATCCTGAATGAAACTTTATATATTTCAATACAATTAGGAAAGTTTCTTCATACTTATATCTCTATCACTCCTTTTGCCTTAATGAAATTTTTTAGAGAGGTTGTGATACAGAAATAATCAGGATTATCTATGAAATCATTTTTCTCTGTGAGATTTGAATGAAATTTTGTTTGTTTTTTTGGATTTTTTAAAAAAAAAACTTAAACAAAATTTTTACATGTATGTTTTCCTTGATGCATGAATTTTTCTATTTTGAATGTTTGTTTCATTTTCATACATTATTTATTAGATTTCTGCAAAATATCACAAAGAACGTGAACAGTTACCTCCCCATGTGTATGCGGTGGCTGAGAGGGCACACCAGTGTCTGATGCGAGACCGTGCTGCCCAATGTTGTGTGATCAGTGGAGAAAGTGGCGCGGGAAAGACAGAAACATGTAAATTTATCATACAACATCTGTCGCGCATCGCTGGTAGTGACGAGAGCAGTCTCAACAGTAAAATCAATCAGGTATGTCAAGTAATCCTTCCAAAATTTAGTCAAAGTGTGTCAAGATGAGTCGTAATGGTTAGATAATATCATTACACTCGTACAGGTATAGGACCTACCTTGAATTCTTCAGAGGATTTACACCTTATCCTAAAGGTCACAATACACGTAATTATGTCTCTGAATTATATTTTACTCTATTGATATATGTCTCTTGATTGGTATGTAAATACATAGCATTTTAATTGACTTTAAAACTGATTGCTGTTTATTTAATGTAATGGTACCTTTAATGACGGTGAATATAGCAGAGTTACCTTTAATGACGGTGAATATAGCAAAGTTACCTTTAATGACAGTGAATATAGCAAAGCTACCTTTAATGACAGTGAATATAGCAAAGCTACCTTTAATGACGGTGAATATAGCAGAGTTACCTTTAATGACGGTGAATATAGCAAAGTTACCTTTAATGACAGTGAAGATAGCAAAGCTACCTTTAATGACAGTGAATATAGCAAAGTTACCTTTAATGACAGTGAATATAGCAAAGCTACCTTTAATGACGGTGAATATAGCAAAGCTACCTTTAATGACGGTGAATATAGCAAAGCTACCTTTATTGACAGTGAATATAGCAAAGCTACCTTTAATGAGGGTGAATATAGCAAAGCTACCTTTATTGACAGTGAATATAGCAAAGCTACCTTTAATGAGGGTGAATATAGCAAAGCTACCTTTAATGACGGTGAATATAGCAAAGTTACCTTTAATGAGAGTGAATATAGCAAAGCTACCTTTAATGACGGTGAATATAGCAAACCTACCTTTAATGACGGTGAATATAGCAAAGCTACCTTTAATGACGGTGAATATAGCAAAGCTACCTTTAATGATGGTGAATATAGCAAAGCTACCTTTAATGACGGTGAATATAGCAAACCTACCTTTATGAGAGTGAATATAGCAAAGCTACCTTTAATGACGGTGTATATAGCAAAGCTATCTTTAATGAAGGTGAATATAGCAAAGCTACCTTTAATGACGGTGAATATAGCAAAGCTACCTTTATGAGAGTGAATATAGCAAAGTTACCTTTAATGACGGTGAATATAGCGAAATGAAATCACTTTCTGGTATAAACAACTATACAGTTAGCATTTATTGTCATTTCTGCTGAAACTACAGTAGATGGAAGTGAACTTACTGAAACATAATTATTGCGTTGAAAATAAATCTTGGCATGAAACCGAATTTAAACAGATTAACATAGTGTTGAATTAGCATATCCACAATAATAGAATGAGTAAACAAAATGGAGAAACTAGTGCAGTATTAGCAGAATAGGTTCCGTGCAAAACACACTAAAATAAGATTATGACTAGAATATGTACATTTACAGAAAGGGACTACAGTGGCTTAGTGGTTAATGCATCCAACCATCATGATCACTTGCCCTCCACCTCTTGGTGGTGGGCACGAGGACTACACGGGACAGTCGCTAGGTACTGGCAGCAGGTCGGTGATTTTTTCCTCCGGGAATCCTGACTTTCCTCCACCATCCAATCCTGGCCTATCCTTAAATGACACTGGTTGTTAATAGGATGTAAATCAAACCAGTAATACCAAGCACGGATTTGTTGTTGATAAATAAAGCACAGATAAAGCCAGTTTTTAAATGAAGACTTAAAGTGGTTTTTGTTTTGTAGGGAAATGCTGTCCTGGAGGCATTTGGGAATGCCAGAACAGTGATCAATACCAACTCTAGCAGATATGCCAAATACATAGAGCTTTACTTCAACGACCTCGGAAAAATCATGGGAGGTGGGTTCTTATTCAAAACAACCTATACAGCTATATAAAACATGCCTGATAAATTTAGTTCTGGTTAAAACATTTACTGCAGTTTGCTTATGTTCTGTATTTTGAAGGCCAAAATACTGTAGAAAACCAGGACACATTGGTTTTTTAGTTTATTGATTTAAGTAGAAATTCCAACATTTTATTCTGAGAAAGAATTATAATAATAGGCCTTTAAGGAATCATAGATATCAAAACTCAAAATGTAAATTGATTTCAGATAAAATTAAACTGGAAATCTCAGATTTCAAATGAATGTGTGATTGATATTTTCTCTATCGTGTTTTGTTCCAATTTTTAGCAAAACTGTCAGAATATCTTTTGGAAAAATCACGAGTGGTGTTCCAGAGTGAAGGGGAATGTAACTATCATATATTTTACTGGATGTTTTCCGGTCTTACACCAGAGGAGTCACAGCTCTTCAAACTGGACTCAATCACTGATCACAGGTAATTCAATATGACTCAATGTTTTCTGGTCTTACACCAGAGGAGTCACAGCTCCTGAAACTGGACTCAATTACAGCTCACTGGTAATTCAATATGACTCAATGTTTTCTGGTCTTACTCTGGAGGAGTCACAACTCCTCAAACTGGACTCAATTACAGCTCACAGGTATTTCAATATGACTCAATGTTTTCTGGTCTTACACCAGAGGAGTCACAGCTCCATAGTCTCACCTCAATCACAGCTCATAGGTAACTCAATGTGAATTGATGTTTACTAGTCTAGCAGCAGAGGGGTCACAGCCCCCCAAACTGAACTCAATTTGGGCTCATAAGTAATTCAATGTGAATTGATATCTTTTGGCCATACTTAGTGGAAATCAGCTCCTGGTATGCAAAACTGACACAAGAAAGATTTGACGATTTATTTATGAACAACAATAATACATAGATGATTACTATATATATAAATAAAAACTATCTGAGGTAATGTCATCCAAAATTAGGATAAAGTGTTGAAAACGTGATTTAATTAGCAAGACAGGAAACTACTGATTGGTAAAGACAATGGCCTGTTTGGGACATTGAAAAATATGTTGACTATATGATCATCTTTTGAAACACATGTTTAACATGTTAACATAACATTCCAATGTTAAGATTTTATTCAAACATTTAAATCTGAAGTGAAATTTCTTATTAAAGAAATATTGATAGAAGAGGTTTACTGTTTGTAGGTACATGCGCCACAAAGGAATTGACCCCAAAAGTCTTGTTCACTCGGAAAACCGGGAGAAATTCTTGGAGCTGAAGGACTGTCTGAAGTTCATTGGATTCACACAGGATGTAAGTAAATTTAGGCTGTTTTACCTGGAGATTGTTAGGTGAACTAAGGTGTATGCTACTACTTACTGATGAGACAATAGTGTTTACATCTACCTGATCAATTGATTGAGATGATTTTAGACACTGATCTGTATTGTTGAAAGGTACAAACCTGGTTACTTACTATTGATATGTCTGCGAAATCACAAGAATTGTTTGTAATAAAAATAACTATGTGGGGCATTTGGGTATTCAAATAAAATTTAGACTAGATTTTGCTTTACTATGGCACCAGACTTTTTGTAGGAAAACGTGCAGCTCTCCTATTCTCACAGATCATGAAACTAGTAGCAAAGAGAAATCAGGTAGATGTTAGTATGTTGATATGTTCAAGTTAGAAATATATAAAATAAGTAGATTAGACAAAGTGTCCATTTATCTTCCATAATTGTTCTGACTTTAAACTCTGACCTCAAGGACATGGAGAATATACTGTTGATGTTGTCAACTGTCCTTCACCTTGGTGATATAACCTTTACTACGGGAGGAATCAATGACATGGCAGTCATCGTCAATTCAGCTCAGGTCCAACTTGGTAAGGCAGCTGTTATGACTTCTCACAAACTATTCATACAGATTTAAATTGTAAAATGATTTATTTTAAGCTTCGTTGAAATAGATGGAGCATTAATTTTTTCCATACTGATGTATTGATGCCAAAACAACATGAAACAATTTGAAAATATTGGTTCTGCACAATTCACTTATCAACATCTTGTTATAACATCAAAAATATTGGCTTTTTTCTTTTATTGAAACTCTGGTTTTGGTAACAATGGGAAGGTGTTTTAGTAATAATGATTGTAGCGCCTGTGTTAAAAATTTCCAGAACATAAGTATATCCTTGAGAAATAAGTGTGTCCTTGAGAAAATACATATGTCCTTGAGGAATAAGTATTTCCTTGAGAAATAAGTATGTCCTTGAAAAAATACATATGTCCTTGAGGAATAAGTATTTCCTTGAAGAATAAGTATGTCCTTGAAAAAATACATATGTCCTTGAAAAATAAGTATGTCCTTGAGAAATAAGTATTTCCTCGAGGAATAAGTGTCTCTTTGAAAAAATAAGTATGTCTTTGAAAAAATAAGTATGTCCTTGAAAATATATATATGTCCTTGAGAAATAAGTATTTACTTGAGCAATAAGTATGTCCTTGAAAAAATATGTATGTCTTTGAGAAATGCTAAATGTAATGTAATAGGTAATAGTGTGTATTGGTCAGAGAATGTGAAGTTGTAGGAAAATTATCAAAAAAAAGTGTTGAAACATCAGTTGATTTGATCAGTTTTATCTAACCTCTTTTTGATTCTTATCAGTTTTGTTATTGAAGTGGATTCCTGTAAAAGTATATTAATAATGAAATAGATAGGATATAGAGAACATCTCACAGGAAGTACAGATATAGTGCTTAGATTTATCTCAGTGAACTATTTGAAAGACACAAGCTTCAGAATCAGGGTGTCAGAAGTACACTTGAAGACAAATACAGGACAACATCTGTTGACAATCTAAATTTAACTTGACCTTGTACTAATAGCTACGGTATTCATATTTTCAGTGTCCGAGTTATTGAAGGTTTCTGCTGAGGAACTTGGCTCATCATTTGTATGTGACTACACTGTCACCAGGGGTAAGACTTCTTACAACCAATCATAGCCATTGTTACTAGAACTTCACCAATCAAACTGAATGTTACATAGTAGAAGAGTCTGAAGATTTGTTGACAGTTAAGTGTTTTAAGTCTGTTCCATTAGTATGGTAGATTTACCACAGGACTGTCTCACCATGGAACTGATCAGTGTTGAAGAGAAAATAACTAAAAACCATCACTGTCATTAAAGTCTCAAATGAAAATATTTGAAATATTGGAAAGTAAAGTTAAATTTCATTAACAGTGAAAATATTATAATATCACAATAATTATTTCAATTTTATCTAACCAAATAGGAGCATGGATTTGATTTGTATGTGATTTTATTTGTGGGAATGCTGTGGAGGCTTCATTGAGCATGAGTTATACACACATGGAACAGTGCCATACAATTATTAATTTTGTTCAAGGTCAATAGATGACAATTATGTAATATATTGTTCTTCTCATTTATAACCATTTTTAAAATCAATTGTCATTCTGTTAATGACGTTTGCTTCTGTCTTGATAGGTTTAAGGTCATTCTATAGTGTAGGATTGTTTTTAGAAATTTTAGTAACTTCCTAGTGTAATTCATGAAATGTTGATTTTTCGCCATTAAGAAATGTTTTCTCTGACCTTGATTATGTTGAATTATATTCATGTTTCGTTTATTTCTCTTTAACAAATTATATCAGCAGTGAAAACTTTCCATTCCCCGTAACTTCACGTCAGATAAAGTAATATTGTAAAAAATATCTTATTCCTAATATTCTGAGCATGATTGTATTTCTGACCTTTGCATATGATGTTTATGACCTTTCTGACCTTTGCATGAAATGTATTTGACCTCCCTGACCTTTGTGTAATTTACATAATCTACCTGCATGACGTTGCATGTGTATATCCATGCCTCATTCTGCATGTTTATAGGAGAACAGATTCGGAAGGAACGAACTCTTCAACAGGCAAGGGACTGCCGCGATGCACTAGCCAAAGCTATATACAGCCGAATGTTTAGTTGGATTGTCAATGGTATAAATCAGATGATTCAACCAATGGTTCCGAGGTAAATTACGGACCCTAAAAGTGAAGCGATGGTTTATTTTGTTAACTGTGTGTTTGGGAGGTAGATCACGGACCCTAAAAGTAAAGTGATGGTTAATTTTGTTAACTGTGTCTTTGGGAGGTAGATCACGGACCCTAAAAGTGAAGCGATGGTTCACGGACCCTAAAAGTGAAGTGATGGTTTATTTTGTTAACTGTGTTTTTTGGAGGTAAATCATGGACCCTTAAAGTGAAGTGATGGTTTATTGTGTTAACTGTGTGTTTGGGATCTTAATAACGGACCCTAAAAGTGAAGCGATGGCTTATTGTGTCACCTGCAGAGCTGGCGGACACTTAGGGATCACTTCGTCCGTCGTCACACGTCGTCGTCATCATTGTCCGTACGAAAGTTTTCCGGCCTTTTTTAGGTAATGCTTTGAGTTATCAAAATGAAATTTAGCATATGACTTTTTGTTGTAATGGTACAGATTAAGTTGGATTCCCGGCTGTCTGTGACCCTTTTTGGCAGAGTTATGCCCCTTTCAACTTAGAAAATTGCATGGGAATATTGTTTTCCGGATTTTGTTTGCTTATGCTTTGAGTTATCAAAAATGAAATTTGGTATATGGCTTCTTGTTGCAAGGATACAGATTAAGTTTGATTCCCATCTGTCTGTGACCCTTCTTGTTTGAGTTATGCCCCTTCAAACTTAGAAAATTCTTTGGGAATATTGTTTTCTTGACTTTCTTTGGTTATGCTTTGAGTTATAGAAATGAAATTTGCTATATGGCTTCTTGTTGGAAGGGTACAGATTAGTTTTGTTTCTTGGCAGTCTGTAACCCTTCTTGGCAGTCTGTAACCCTTCTTGACAGTCTGTAACCCTTCTTGGCAGTCTGTAACCCTTCTTGGCAGTCTGTAACCCTTCTTGGCAGTGATATGTCCCTTTGAACTTGGAAAATTTCTCAGGAATATTGCTTTGCCAAGTTTTCCCTTTATGCTTCAAGTTATAGAAATGAAATTTGGTATTACAACTTTATGGTTGATCGTTGCACATCCAGTTTAATTTCTGGGTGACCGTGACACTTTATGGAGGTGACATATACAGTTCCAAGGAACTCTTGTTTTGTTAGCTGTGTGTTTGGGAGGTAGATCACGGACCCTAAAAGTGAAGTGATGGTTTTTTTGTTAACTATGTGTTTGGGAGGTAGATCACAGACCCTTAAACTGAAGTGATGGTTGTTTTGTTAACTGTGTGTTTGGGAGGTAGATCACGGACCCTAAAAGTGAAGTGATGGTTTTTTTGTTAACTGTGTGTTTCGGAGGTAGATCACGGACCCTAAAAGTGAAGTGATCATTTTTTTGTTAACTATGTGTTTGGGAGGTAGATCACGGACCCTTAAACTGAAGTGATGGTTTTTTTGTTAACTGTGTGTTTGGGAGGTAGATCACGGACCCTAAAAGTGAAGTGATGGTTTTTTTGTTAACTGTGTGTTTGGGAGGTAGATCACGGACCCTTAAACTGATGTGATGGTTTTTTTGTTAACTGTGTGTATGGGAGGTAGATCACAGACCCTTAAACTGATGTGATGGTTTTTTTGTTAACTGTGTGTTTGGGAGGTAGATCACGGACCCTTAAACTGATGTGATGGTTTTTTTGTTAACTATGTGTTTGGGAGGTAGATCACAGACCCTAAAAGTGAAGTGATGGTTTTTTTGTTAACTGTGTGTTTGGGAGGTAGATCACGGACCCTTAAACTGATGTGATGGTTTTTTTGTTAACTGTGTGTATGGGAGGTAGATCACAGACCCTTAAACTGAAGTGATGGATTTTTTGTTAACTGTGTGTTTGGGAGGTAGATCACGGACCCTTAAACTGATGTGATGGTTTTTTTGTTAACTGTGTGTATGGGAGGTAGATCACAGACCCTTAAACTGATGTGATGGTTTTTTTGTTAACTGTGTGTTTGGGAGGTAGATCACGGACCCTTAAACTGATGTGATGGTTTTTTTGTTAACTGTGTGTATGGGAGGTAGATCACAGACCCTTAAACTGATGTGATGGTTTTTTTGTTAACTGTGTGTTTGGGAGGTAGATCACGGACCCTTAAACTGATGTGATGGTTTTTTTGTTAACTATGTGTTTGGGAGGTAGATCACAGACCCTAAAAGTGAAGTGATGGTTTTTTTGTTAACTGTGTGTTTGGGAGGTAGATCACGGACCCTTAAACTGATGTGATGGTTTTTTTGTTAACTGTGTGTATGGGAGGTAGATCACAGACCCTTAAACTGATGTGATGGTTTTTTGTTAACTGTGTGTTTGGGAGGTAGATCACGGACCCTTAAACTGAAGTGATAGTTTTTTTGTTAACTGTGTGTTTGGGAGGTAGATCACGGACCCTTAAACTGATGTGATGGTTTTTTTGTTAACTATGTGTTTGGGAGGTAGATCACGGACCCTAAAAGTGAAGTGATGGTTTTTTTTGTTAACTGTGTGTTTGGGAGGTAGATCACAGACCCTAAAAGTGAAGTGATGGTTTTTTTGTTAACTATGTGTTTGGGAGGTAGATCACGGACCCTTAAACTGAAGTGATGGTTTTTTTGTTAACTGTGTGTTTGGGAGGTAGATCACGGACCCTAAAAGTGAAGTGATGGTTTTTTTGTTAACTATGTGTTTGGGAGGTAGATCACGGACCCTTAAACTGATGTGATGGTTTTTTTGTTAACTGTGTGTTTGGGAGGTAGATCACGGACCCTTAAACTGATGTGATGGTTTTTTTGTTAGCTGTGTGTTTGGGAGGTAGATCACGGACCCTAAAAATCGAACGAATCGGGCTGTGATTGATTACAAATTATTTTACCTCTTAGTTTCAAAGTAAATCTTGGATCCTAAAAGTGGCACTATGATTATTCTATTTTCCCTGGGATAACCAGTTACACATATTTCACCTCTTGAGTTTCAGTGGAAAATCAAAGATTATCAATAATAAACTTTGAAGTTTTTTTCAACACTAACCCTAGTTAAATATCCATCGGTGAATTAAGTGAGGTTGCATGGATTTGATCTACACAGTGGGAAAACAAAACATCTCGCCTGCCTCACTAAAATTATAACACCATAATAAATAATGGTGATTTAAATCTCTTTTACAAGTTGTTGACATATTACTGGGAAATCAGAAAATATAGAATCAATCAAAAACCATTATGTGTTTTATGATTTAGAAACATTTTATCCTGCAAGATGTTCAGGGACCAACACATCAGCTATGACTCAAAGTCAAAGGGTGGGCTTATTACAGAACAGTAAGTCATGGTGCCAACACATCAGCTATGACTCAAAGTCAAAGGGTGGGCTTATTACAGAGCAGTAAGTCAAGGTGCCAACACGTCAGCTATGACTCGAAGTCAAAGGGTGGGCTTATTGCAGAGCAGTAAGTCAAGGTGCCAACACATCAGCTATGACTCAAAGTCAAAGGGTGGGCTTATTACAGAGCAGTAAGTCATGGTGCCAACACATCATCTCTGACTTGAAGTCAAAGGGTGGGCTTATTACAGAGCAGTAAGTCAAGGTGCCAACACGTCAGCTATGACTCGAAGTCAAAGGGTGGGCTTATTGCAGAGCAGTAAGTCAAGGTGCCAACACATCAGCTATGATTCGAAGTCAAAGGGTGGGCTTATTACAGAGCAGTAAGTCAAGGTGCCAACACATCAGCTATGACTCAAAGTCAAAGGGTGGGCTTATTACAGAACAGTAAGTCATGGTGCCAACACATCTGTTATGACCCAAAGGCATGAATGGACTTAGAACAGGACATTGAAATATACATTTGTAATAAACTGTAGAACTTGTCAGTAATGCTTCTGAGTAGCATATTACCATGTGTGGGCTTATTGTCAGACACATTATAGATAAAGATATATTTTCTTCCTATGAGCAAATTCTATTTTGGATCACACAGCAGTGTCATCACTAATTCATGAGAGATCAGTGACTAATGCTGATTGGTCTGGTGCAGCCATAGATACCTTATATAGAGTAAGCTGTGCAGGTGAATTACATATACTAATGGAGATGAATCTCCTGGAAGGTTAAAGGTCACAAGTTTATAGAGCAAACTGATTAATCACAAATAAGGTTATGTACAATAGACAATGCTATCTCTGTATATTTATAAACAAATACTTTGATCACTGATGACTTTTTTTATCTTACAGAGAGGATCCATTACTCATTGGTATATTGGACATTTTTGGATTTGAAAATTTTGCCAAGAATAGTTTTGAACAGGTATATTAATCTATAACTTGAAATGATATTAAAATCTTCTAATTGTCAACAGAATAACCTGGAACAAAGTTTGTGTCGTGATTTTTGAAAGGAACTTAATAATTATCTAAAAAAATAAAAAGCTGAAGAAAAAAAAATACAAAACAAAACAAAATTTTGATTATTTAGTTGTTTGCAACAAGCAATATTTGTGGCTTTTTAACCCTTGATTATGTTGTTTTCTAGATATATAAACATTGCTTTACCTAATTATGATGATTTTGATACCACAAATCTTTCCAGGTGTGTATAAACTTGGCCAATGAACAAATGCAGAATTACACCAATGAGCATATCTTTTACAAAGAGCAACAGGACTGTCTGCAAGAAGGTGTCCCAATGGTCGATTTTGACTACAAGAGTAACCAATCAGTTCTGGACACATTCTTTGAGGTTGGTATCTGAGAAATTTACTTTGTCTATCGGTCAATAGCTGAAGTCACCGATATGCTAATTAGATAACATATCTTTCTTTATCGTTGCTGAAAATTTGTATTTTGGGTTACATCAACAGCAAATCAGTGTCTACTGAGTACCTTATACCAAAATACCAAAATGAACTCGGAGGAATATATTGCAGGATGATGAAATAGCATTTGTTAATTCTACTGAAGAGCACTAGATATGGATGGGCTTGTTAATAAAAAGATTACAGAGCAAAACAAAAAAGCATTTATTTGTAACTGCTGAACAGTAATATATATGGGTGGGCTTATTACAGGACAATAAATAAGTGTTTGTTTGTAACTCTATATATATGGGTGGGCTTATTACAGGAATATAAAATAAATATCTTTCAGTATTTAATTGTTTGATAATTTCTCTGTTTGAAGAAACACACCGGAATCTTAGCTATTTTAGATGAGGAGAGTTCATTCCCCAAGGCAACTGACAGCTCCCTAGCAACCAAGCTTCACCAGGGTCCAGGTGTGTAAATCTCCACTACAGTTGTCACCTATAATATTATTGTTTTTATGAGAAAGAGGAATTAGGAAGACCTATTTATAACTTTATCTTGCCGTCCATGATTTGTTATTAAGAGACCAGCTGTGTTAAGAGACCGCCTTTGTAACAGACCAAATGGTATAAGATACCTGTATTTAGAGACCAGCTGTGTTAAGAGACCACCTTTGTAACAGACCAAATGGTATAAGATACCTGTATTAAGAGACCAGCTGTGTTAAGAGACCGCCTTTGTGGCAGACCAATTGGTATAAGATACCTGTATTAAGAGACCAGCTGTGTTAAGAGACCGCCTTTGTGGCAGACCAATTGGTATAAGATACCTGTATTAAGAGACCAGCTGTGTTAAGAGACCGCCTTTGTAACAGACCAAATGGTATAAGATACCTGTATTAAGAGACCAGCTGTGTTAAGAGACCGCCTTTGTGGCAGACCAATTGGTATAAGATACCTGTATTAAGAGACCAGCTGTGTTAAGAGACCACCTTTGTAACAGACCAAATGGTATAAGATACCTGTATTAAGAGACCAGCTGTGTTAAGAGACCGCCTTTGTGGCAGACCAATTGGTATAAGATACCTGTATTAAGAGACCAGCTGTGTTAAGAGACCGCCTTTGTGGCAGACCAATTGGTATAAGATACCTGTATTAAGAGACCAGCTGTGTTAAGAGACCGCCTTTGTGGCAGACCACCTGTTATAAGAAACATCCCAGTCTCTAACTGAACCAATGTTGATAAAGTATTTAGAAATGTATGATTGATATGGTTTTAAAATGATCCCTTTATGTTACTGATTCAAACTATTTTTTCTAGGCAAGAAGTTTCAAGATGTATACAAGACACCCAAAGATATGGGAGTGGTCTTCACAGTGGTCCATTATGCTGGTGCAGTGTCTTATGACTTAATGGGTTTCCTAGACAAGAACCGTGACACCCTTCCGAATGCTGTCACATACATTTTGAAAAGTGTGTATTATCAGCTACCTCATAAAAATATGAAGATGTGTTTGCTGTATATTTGTTAATCAATCTAGCCTATGAATATTTTTATAATTAAAGAAATATTTTACTTAACGTTTGTGTACATACGTCAGTAAATTTTGCGATTAAGTCACAGTCTGCTTCTGACATATCAATTCCTGGCAGTGGTTTCTGTTTGATATACATTGTGTGAGTCAAAAAGTCCAGGAGCATCACATGACAGGTGGTGACTTCACCGTTATTATGGTCGTCATTACTCTGTCCTATTTATCAACGTTCAAATTTATTTATCTGCTTTAAAGGGAGATGATTGGTTTTCTGCACAAGTCAAACTGGTAACTTAAAGCAAATTATTTTTCAACATACACCATCATAATTCTGTACTGATGTTGGAAACATATATTTATGTTTATATGTTGAAAAATATGTGATTAGAATTTTCAACTCAATAGGTTTTAAAATTGATACTGGAATGACTTATGTCATGTTGACTTTTATGTATGTTCTTCTCATTACCTCAAAAAAATAAAAACAACTTAAGGTTGGACATTGAAAGTTTCATTGTGTTTAGATGTGATATAATACTTTGGTAATGGATGACAACGTACCTGGAATGAATTTCATGTCAGAAATGTTTTGAGACAAACAGTTGTACAAATGTTCTATCAAGCATAAATTTGGTTTTTTAAACAAATATATGTGTAATAAGCAAATTTTTTCTATGTGACATTATGCAAAATTTAGAAGCCTTGAACAGTTTTATATTGAGAATGAAGAACTGACAATTCTAAGTACTTAATGCTTAACTAATCTCCAGGATCTTAGTGATGTGAATGTGGTATGTAAAAATTAATGTGCTTTTCATCAATAAGAGTTTGTTCCCTTGGCCTAATTTTCAGCCAGTGAAAGCCTGTTGATCAAGGATCTGTTCCAGTCACGAGTGACCAGGACAGGTTCCCTCGCCCCAAGTGCCCGGCAACAGAGATCCCGTAGGGGCACTACCATCAAGTCTCCATTTGAATTCTTTAAGAAAATGAAAGGAGGAAAAACGGACAAGGTAAATGAATCAAAACATTTATAGATTTACTTGTGTCCACTTTGATAGAATTGATGCTTTAAGTATTAAAATTAGTTCAATATAAGTAATTATTGTTGTTTATATTGTCACAGAAATCCAAACGCCCAATGATGTCTGTCGAGAGAAAGGGCCCAGCTACCATGGCGTATCATTTCAAGGTCAGTTTCCCAGCAGAATGAAGACACCTTTCTTTACTGCTAACTAAATATCTCTAACTAGATAGGCAGACACCTGTCACTTGTTTTCCTTACGTATTCAATATTTTGGCAATTTCATGAATTCTTTGACTTTTTACAGGTTAATCATGACCAGATAACCCAGACGTATATCTTTTGTTGTGTTTAACGTGACCAGATAACCCAGAAATATATTTGTTGTTGGGTTTAACACAACCAGATAACCCAGAAGTATAACTTTCAGAATGTTTTTTTTCTTGATTTCTCCTGCAGAATTCTCTGAATGACCTGATGGCTAAGATCCAATCAGCAAAGCCCCAAATTATACGTTGTATTCGTCCGAACACCACCAAGGCCGCCATGTTGTTTGTCCCGGAATATGCCCTTGCCCAGCTGCGTTATACAGGAATAGCTGAGACAATCAAAATCAAAAAGTTTGGTTATTCCATGAGAATCAGATTCCATGATTTCTTACTGAGGTATACAGCAACTCATTTGAATTTAAAAACTCCTCAAATTTCTCTTGACTCTTTGAATCTTTCTCTAAAAAATCACTTTGATACATCTGGTAACTATCTTACCAAAATTTATTATCTCCCCTGAAATGCCGTTTGGATATATTAATATAAGTATCTATCAGATTGTATAATTTCCTTCTTTCTTCCAGTACACTTTTGTTATCTTTTATGAACAATTTTACAATTTGTGAGACATTGACATAATTTTATGGAAGTTAAGGCTCTTTCAGAAATTTTGTCCAGAAAACCTATCAAAAATGTTAACCCTATTGAGTTATGCTTGTAATTATTTTTATCCAATTTAAAAATAATTTTTTGAAGATGTTAATAGTGGCAATGCTTCTGATTAACAAAATCTTATTGTTTGTGGTAGAATATCTTTATTATCAAATTTTTCATTGACGTAACAACATTGCCACACAAAGGGAAGAAGACTTACATATGATAAAATATATTTGTGATGAATTTGTGGTATGCTAATGATGTCCATTTAACATTTCATACTTTTAGCTAGAAGCAAATTTTCATACCTGTTGTTTAATTTACTTTTGTTTTCAAGATGTGAACAATTTGTGATGCCAAAGCCAGTTAAGATATTACAATAATATTTCAAATAAGATGAAAATATATTATTATGATGAGTGTTTATTGGTTTGTAGCAAATAATGATATTACATGTTGAGAGGATTATGTATGATAACTGCAGGTACCACACCCTAACAGTCTGTCTACTGCCACAACACAGTATGATATCAGACTTGGACAAATGTAAACATATCTTACAGTGGTGTCACCTGTCAGAGGCCAAGGACAAGTACAAGGTAGGTAGTGTTGTGAGGGGGCAGGGTGGGATAGGGGAAAGGGGCCACATCCTAACAGTCTGTCTGCTACCACAACACAGTATGATACCAGAACTGGACAAATGTAAACATATCTTACAGCGGTGTCACCTGTCAGAGGCCAAGGACAAGGTAGGTAGTGTTGTGAGGGGGCAGGGTGGGATAGGGGAAAGGGGCCATATCCTAACAGTCTGTCTGCTACCACAACACAGTATGATACCAGAACTGGACAAATGTAAACTTATCTTACAGCGGTGTCACCTGTCAGAGGCCAAGGACAAGGTAGGTAGTGTTGTGAGGGGGCAGGGTGGGATAGGGGAAAGGGGCCACATCCTAACAGTCTGTCTGCTACCACAACACAGTATGATAACAGACAATAGATATCTCTGTCACACTTCCATGTCTTATGTATGAATGTGTTTTGTTCACATGCTAGATGATTTCTGAGATACCATCATTCAAAGTTTAAGGTCACTTTCTAAAATTAGAATTTTTTGTCACACTTCCTTGCCTTCAATTTATACATGTATTTTGTTCATGCTTGGCACACATGTTTATATTTAATGTACTTTAATTAAAATCAAATACGAAGGTCAGGGTCAAAGATCATTGCATATTAAGTATAAAGTTCAAGGTTAAAGATCAATGCAAATCATATACGAAGGTCAGGGTCAAAGATCAATGCTAAAATAGACATATTGTATTGATAACTGAACTTGCACTTTGGACATAATTTTCTGAAAGGTCATCAATAAGTTCAAATATTGGCCAAAGGTCAAGGTTGCTTAAATTAAACTGTTTGAAAAATGTGTTTAAACCTGTTCAGTAGGTGGTGTCTCCTTCTAGTGTTATTTGTTTTTCATTCAGTTCGTTTTAGATTTAGTAACTATGTGATGATCTACATAACAAAATGTTGAAACACTACATATATATTGCTAAAGAATTATGAGCTTTGTTCACTTTCTTAAACTATGTAAATTTATCACAGTTATCATCATTACTCTATGAGTGATAACTACTGGCTTGGTGAATCGAGTGGAAGGATCCTATATGATGGAGCTCACATCATATCTTGTTCATGTCTAATACAAAAACAACAAAAGATGTAAAAAAATCATAAACCAAATTTGGTAAAAGACGAACTAGATATGAAGAATGAAATATTTACAAAGAGTTCATTGAAAAAGTACATGAAGACCTAAGACTGGATGATTTTGTATTTTTGCAGATAGGAAAAACCAAGTTATTCATGTGTGAACGACACTGTAGCCGTCTGGAGGAGGGGGAGATCACTCTCAGTAGGAGAGTGACTTTGGCCCAAGCAGGTCAGTATTTTTTCGAAGTTTTTGTATTTCTTAGGATCAATAGGATTGATATGGCTGTCTCACATTGTATTTATTTGGCTTACATGGAAATCTGATCATAGGATTAATTCTTGTTCACCTGAGACAAAGTCTCTTGGTGGTCTATTGCGATCACCTCTGGCTTCATGCGTCATGCATCTGTAAATAATTGAACATTTTTGACTTCTCAAAAATCCCTGAACGGATTTCATTGAAATTTTTTCAGAAACTTTCCCCAGCCTAAAATGAACCTAAATAGTGAAAGATATGGTCTCCACCCCACTGTGCCTGAAGGGCGGGACTGAAATGGGTCAAATTGACTTGGATTTCAATAATCTTATTATCAACACCCACATATTATACAATCAAATGCTCTTCATGGATGAAAGTGTCTGAAGGCACTTTACCAAAATTGTGAATTTCATGGCCCCAGGGTCTCATATTTCCACATTAGTTTATATGGGAAAAATAGTTTTTGAGGATAATTTGTTTAATTTCCATTGGAAATATGTCAAACTTGGTTAGAATTATGAGCCACAGGATGACAGTTTGATAGTATGCCCATACTGATCCTATCTGACCCCAAGGGGCCAATTGACAAGACCATAAGGGGTCAAAATTACTCACATTTCAATCATCTTTTTCACAACACCAAGATTTGGCAGATTCAAAATGCTGTTAATGGATGGAAGCATCTTAAGTTGCTTTACCGAAATTGTGAATTTCATGGCCCCAGTGGGGAGAGGGTGAAGTTAACTATAGTTTATATAGATAAAATAGATTTTTTTTAGCATAATTTGTTTAATTTCCATTGGAACATTTCATATTTGGTTAGAATTAGGTAGATGAATTGATGATATTTCAATATTGATCTTGGCTGACGTCCAGGGGCTGTTATATGTAGGTGGGGTCACAAGGGGTCAAATGACTCAGATTTCAAAACTCTTCTTCTCAACAACCAGATATGGCAGATTCAAATGCTCTTTATGGATGGAAGAATCTTAAGATGCTTTACCAAAATTGTGAATTTCATGGTCCCAGGGTCTCATATTTCTTCCTATGGAGGGGGTAAAATTTACTATTGTTTATAAAGAGAAAATAGATTTTTTTGAGCATAATTTGTTTAATTTCCATTGGAAATATTTCAGACTTGGTTAGAATTATGAGTTAAGAGTGATGGCTTAATGGTATGCCCATATTGATCCTATCTAACCCCCAGGGACTGATGGGTGGGGCCAAAAGGGATCAAATTGACTTAAATTTCAAAGATCTCGTTCTCAACACCCACATTTGGTAGAATCAAATGCTTTACATGGATGGAAGTATCTTAAGGTGCTTTAGTTATCAAAATGGGTCTCATATTTCACCCTGGGGAGCAGGTTGATTTAACTTTAATTTTCATAGGAAAATTGCATTTTTGAGCAGAACATTGTTTATTTCCCACTGGAAATAACTGTAAGAACTATTGGTATAGAATGACAGTTATGATAGTATGCATGTATTGACACTGGCTTACTATCATTGTCACAATTTCTTTTTCATAACACTTGACAACTACTTACCCTTTAACCTTTATACTCAATATTGATTATCTCAGGTGGACCGTCAAGACTGCCAGGCCTCTTTTACTTTTTAAGAAAGAATATGTGTCAGCAAAGTTTAGTTTGTAACATTGTTAAAGTGCATCAATTAATGAATTAAATCTGACAGTCTCTTTCCATTATCATATCTCACACATACTTTCCAGTTGTACGTGGGTTCCTCGCCAGGAAAAAGTTCAAAACTCTCAAAATACAAATCCAACAGAAACAGGAAATGGAAATATCCACCTTCTGCCACCAGATGGCTCTCCATCAAGATCAACTATTGTCATGGTTACTAGACATTAACACTGAGGATGACAAAATACAGCAACAGAAGCTGAAAACTGATGAGTGAGTCTTAAAATATTTGCTTTCACTTCTTAAAAATAATTCATTTGGTGGTGTACTATGACATACATTTGGCTTAATATACAAAAAAAAAAATAGGGTTTTCAACCTTTTTAATTATTCATGATTCATATGGATGATGGGAGTTGACAAAGAAATCTCCAAGCTCGAGTTACTCCTGAGCCATCATCGTTGTCATCTTTTTTGTGATCTGTCCTGAGAATGTCTGTTTCCTGTGTACAGAGTTCGGGAGATCTGTAAATCCCTGGAGGCTCTGGATGATTTACTTAACATATACGATGACTGTATACCCGCACCTTATCCAGAGGAAGTCTTCGATGACTGTATACCCGCACCTTATCCAGAGGAAGTCTTCGAAGGTAAGAACAATTACTTACCTCATAGATAACAACGATATTCTCTACAGCAGTCACATTTTCTTCCTAATTCAGCTACAGTTCAGAAGATGGAAGATAGAGTTGCTAAAATTACTTATAAATAGACTTTTCTACATAATACAAAGGAATTTTTACCGATATTGTGGGAAGAAATTTCAGAGAGAGTTGTGAAATTTTAGTGGATTTGGTGAATACCTAACAGTATTTTCCAATTAAATTTAATTGTTGTAAACACTATTTATGAAGTATGAACTTATCCATGATTATGATATGAGATTTTGGTCATCCTGGCAAGTTTTTAGAAAAAAACTTTTCATGTGTGGATGGTGAAACGTAATCTCATCGAATACTTGTTGGATTCTACTGTGATTCCTGGACAAAAGGGCCCTACATTTGTAACCTATAATGGTATCTGCATAGAATGATTTTGAAAAGCTAACCAATCTGTGCTTGGTTACCTTTTTCTTTTACAGAGTTTTACCATAATTATGCCAAGCTTTGTCATCTTAACAAAACATTTAGATTACTACTTTATTTATAATATTATTATTGCTTAAATTGAAAACAAAACAAAATATTTGTGATTTATGTTGAAAAAATCATATTTCAATGATATAGATGTATCAATATTTTATTTTAGATATTTTTCATCTCAATTGAGAAAAAATAGAAGTTATAGCTAAATGTGTGAAACTGCTAAAGTATGAATAAACTAGACCCACGGTAGTGGATAAATAGTACCACTTAAATGTGTAGAATGTCATTAGAAGGAAGCCCAATCCTGGTCCTGACTGATCAGCTGGCCTTCCACAACATACCTTTGTCTGGCCTATCTATCTATATATCATCTGTCTCCTCACCTACATTGTAAGATGTGTGATTTAGTGGCAATGCCAAGAAAAGTTAAGACAAGTGTGTTTAAATTGTAATTTTGAAAAAAGCTAGGACATATAGTTTAGTGGCAATGTCAAGATAAGTTAGGACTTGTAGTTTAGTGGCAATGTCAAGATAAGTTAGGACTTGTAGTTTAGTGGCAATGTCAAGATAAGTTAGGACATGTAGTTAAGTGGCTATGACATGTAGTTAAGTGGCAATGTCAAGATAAGTTAGGACATATAGTTTAGTGGCAATGTCAAGATAAGTTAGGACTTGTAGTTTAGTGGCAATGTCAAGATAAGTTAGGACATGTAGTTAAGTGGCAATGTCAAGATAAGTTAGGACATGTAGTTAAGTGGCAATGTCAAGATAAGTTAGGACATATAGTTTAGTGGCAATGTCAAGATAAGTTAGGACATGTAGTTTAGTGGCAATGTCAAGATAAGTTAGGACATGTAGTTTAGTGGCATGGTCAAGATAAGTTAGGACAATTAGTTTAGTGGTAATGTCAAGATAAGTTAGGACATGTAGTTTAGTGGCATGGTCAAGATAAGTTAGGACATGTAGTCCAGTGGCAGTATGAAGACCTGTTATATAGCTGAATCTTGGTGAGATTACACGATTCCTGGTCTGCTTAATCACATCATATCTATTTTCATCTTTTTGCCTAAAAACTTCACATGCTGATATGGTTATATTGATGATTGGTAATTTTTATAGTATGTTTTGATTTTTTTTCTGAGAGACCCTAAATTCATGGAACCATCTTGGTCTAAAGTGTGACAAAGCCTCATCAGACCATTGTGACTGTCTGTCCTACTTATGGTTAAAATCATCCAATCATTTGAATGAAGAGTCAGACTAATTTGCATTTACAACAGCTAGGCATTTGTTTCTATCTATTGCTTGTGATCCTTTCAGTAAGGGGTGAGAAATGATATTGTTTCCACATGCTGTAATCAACATAACTGCATTCTTGGTTATTACAAAGAATGAACAGTAACAGTGCACTGTGTTACACATGTGTTAAACACATGCCTTCCTTATCATTTAAACCTGCAGTATGAAATGCTGGTGAATGCTTCCTGTAAAAAAATGTCTGTTCTGGATTTCTCAGATGATCTCTTGAGAATAGGTAGACCTTCTCAGCATTGACAATACCACTTACTAGGAGGGTGTACTTTGAATTTCTATAGTACATAATATATTTCAGTACGATTAAATGACCATTCTGAGGGATATTTTAGCCCACCATGATCAAATAGTGGGCTGTTCAAATCATCCTACATCCGTGGTCAGTTGTCTGTTTGTCAGTAAACTTTTTGTCATAGATATTTTCTTTAGATGTATTGGATGGATCTCTCTCAAATTTCATATGTAGGTTTCCTTCACGTCCCTAGTTATACCTGTTTCACTGTTTTGACTGTAAAAAAAAAAAAAAAATGGCCGACAGGAGGCTATCTTGGATTTCAACAGTGGAAGTGTGTTATTGCTATTTCTCAAAAAGTACTGGATTGATCGCTCTCAAATTTCATCTGTAGGTTCTCCTTAAGTCCCTAGTTGTGCCTATTTGATTTTAGGACTGATCTGAAAAACAAATGGCTGACTGGCGACCATCTTGGCCTTGGCAGTAAAAAATCATTATGACAAAAACAGAGAAGAGAAGAGAAAAGACTCAATTTATAAAGAGCAAATCAAGATCAAATAATAAATAAATACCCTGTGGAATATCTTGTTGATGGTTTTTAAAGAAAGACCATTCAAGTCAATGTTCTGTAGTAAAAATCTGTTCGAAGAATAAAAGGTTTTCCTAACTGACCTTCAATATTTTCAACAAAGGTGATAACAATCTGCTGTGGTCCAAATACATCAAAATTGCGAACAATACCCTCCTGTAGTGTGTTTAAATCAATATTTTTATAAACCTTCAGAATTCTCAGAAAGCTATGGTTCAAACACTGATCAAAAGAGCAGATATTCTTCCATGGTGTGTTTCACCCAATACTTTTATAAGCCTGAGAATTGTTAGAAAGCTATGGTCAAAACATATCAAAAGTGTAGATAATACTCTCCTAAGGTGTGTTTCAGTTAGTATTTTTATAAACCTGGAGAATTGTCTGAAAGCTGTGGTCCAAATACATCAAAATAGCAGATAATACCCTCCTATGGTGTGTTTCACTCAATACTTTTATAAACCTGGAGAATTGTCTGAAAGCTGTGGTCCAAATACATCAAAATAGCAGATAATACCCTCCTATGGTGTGTTTCACTCAATACTTTTATAAACCTGGAGAATTGTCTGAAAGCCTCCTCCATAAGCTGTGTTCCTTACATCAACAGTTGGAGAATGGTTTTCCTAATTATGTTACAGCTGGCAGACAGAAGACAGGGACAGATGATGGACAAGCAATCCTACAGTCATATTTTGTTAATTTTGTAGATGGTGCTGTAATAGGAACCCTGGTATCTATACCAAATCTACTAACATCTTTTGTAGCTGCTGCTGAAAGCAACATTATTGTTTGAAGAGAGTTTAAAGGTTTCTTTGATTTGATGGTGGTTAAATTCCATTGTGTGTAGAAAAATACAGAAACCAGAAATGGATTCATACACAGATATGACTGATCTGTTTTGTTTGGTTTTGTTTCACTTTGATTTTGTGGAATAGTGAAGTGAAAAATCTAACGGAAATTAAGTGAAAACTCTAGCGCCAATATTTCCCTTATTAAAGATATTCATGCAGTGTTCACAGCAATTATAAAACAAAAACAATGTTGGAAACAAATTCACTATCACTAAATCAGTAATTCAATCTGTAACGAGAGGGTTTCTTGGGAAATTTAAAAGATTTCAACATGAGTTTTTAAAATTATCAACATAGGTGAAGTATCTCACATTTAGAAAATATACCTTATACATTGGATACAGTAAAGTGAATATGATCCAGTACCTGACTTTATTAACACCCTGTCTAATCCGACTACGGAGTACACTCCTAATTAAACTGTTATTTACTCCTAACTAAACTGATATTTACTCCTAACTAAACTGATGTACACTCCTAACTAAACTGTTATTTACTCCTAACTAAACTGATATTTACTCCTAACTAAACTGATGTACACTCCTAACTAAACTGATATTTACTCCTAACTAAACTGTTATTTACTCCTAACTAAACTGATATTTACTCCTAACTAAACTGTTATTTACTCCTAACTAAACTGTTATTTACTCCTAACTAAACTGATATTTACTCCTAACTAAACTGATATTTACTCCTAACTAAACTGTTATTTACTCCTAACTAAACTGTTATTTACTCCTAACTAAACTGTTATTTACTCCTAACTAAACTGTTATTTACTCCTAACTAAACTGATATTTACTCCTAAACTAAACTGATATTTACTCCTAACTAAACTGTTATTTACTCCTAACTAAACTGTTATTTACTCCTAACTAAACTGTTATTTACTCCTAACTAAACTGATATTTACTCCTAACTAAACTGATATTTACTCCTAACTAAACTGATAAACACTCCTAACTAAACTGTTATTTACTCCTAACTAAACTGTTATTTACTCCTAACTAAACTGATAAACACTCCTAACTAAACTGATTTTTACTCCTAACTAAACTGTTATTTACTCCTAACTAAACTGATATTTACTCCTAACTAAACTGATATTTACTCCTAACTAAACTGATGTACACTCCTAACTAAACTGATTTTTACTCCTAACTAAACTGTTATTTACTCCTAACTAAACTGTTATTTACTCCTAACTAAACTGATAAACACTCCTAACTAAACTGATATTTACTCCTAACTAAACTGTTATTTACTCCTAACTAAACTGATATTTACTCCTAACTAAACTGATGTACACTCCTAACTAAACTGATAAACACTCCTAACTAAACTGTTATTTACTCCTAACTAAACTGATAAACACTCCTAACTAAACTGTTATTTACTCCTAACTAAACTGTTATTTACTCCTAACTAAACTGATATTTACTCCTAATTAAACTGTTATTTACTCCTAACTAAACTGATATTTACTCCTAACTAAACTGATATTTACTCCTAACTAAAC